CTCCTGACCACTGCCTGACATCGCATTGGACTGAAGTGAAGCCCCCCAAAACCAAAGAACCGTCCTGAACACGGCCGAGTTCGGGTCTCCAGGGTCTCCCGTGGACCACTTGTTTCTTCTGGCACTTCACCTCTCCCAGAAAAGACCTGCTAGGGTTCAAAACTCCCCTCCCAAAAGGGTCCTAGCGACAATTCTCGCTTGGTCAAATCGCTGTGGCCACGTCAGATCGACTCCAAACCAGACTGAAAAGAGATCCATCTGCAACAAGCATTGTTGAGACCATTTTGTCCTTGATATCGGGACATGGAAACCCGGCAAACACCAACCCCTTGAGCGTGCAACGCAACCCCTTTTTGCGCCGCCTTCACTCCTTGGTGTGTCTGGTAGGGGTGCGGGTCCATTGTAGCACTGATGTCCAGAGCCGAACAAAAAGCATCAACTCCAAGGCTTGTGCAAGACTCCAAGCACTGCCAAGTAAAATGGCCTACTCTTTCAATTGTAGCTGGTAAATGCTGGTAACATGCTTTAAACCCAGACCTAGAAAGGCCCAAACATTCCGATGAACCGATGAACGATCCATAAATCCGCCATCTTGATCATCTCGTGTCTTCCAAGCCCAACAAATGAAGGCGCAACAGGTCATTCCAACTTCTGAAGGCCTGCCTTCTCTTTGGCCCACACATCGTCCTCGTGCCACTGCTCACTCGATAACACATATGAGCCCCGTCCCGCATCAGGACGTGATCTCCATCGCGACGGACACGTCTCATCGCCAGTTCCGGGCCGCTCCGACGACACGCCTCGTCCCGCAGCAGCACCGCCTCTTCAGAAGCTCCGAACGAAAGAGTTGCCACCTCGTGCCGCCTCTTCATTGCCGTTGCCGTTGCCGCCGTTGCGGATTCAGTCGTTTTGGAAGGGAGAGTCGAACTCGACTCTTCGACCAGCTCAGGAATCCGGTCGTTTGGCTCACATCGGAGAGATCTTCCAGGTGTTCAGATCTTCAAACCAAGATCGTCGTCTTCACAAGCTAATTGTAAGGTCTTCCTCATGTTCACTTCCGTCACGGATCGGGTCCTGAAACCGGGAAGAATGGCAAGGCACTCCAGTCAATTTTTACTGGGAAACCCTCGATGGAAGGCCACACAAACATCACCTAACGAACCAAATCTCATCCAATCAAGCATTTTTTTTCCGTGCCAGATTCTACACACCACGCCACATCAACGCAGCATAAAGACATCATCTTGGAATATGTTGAAGACGATTGATCATACACATCCAAATCAGAGACCCCTCACACTCGAAATGCCCCCTCAAAACCTTTCTCACACAGCCCTTTTTCAATCCTCGAGTCCAGGCAGTCGCTCTGGAAGACCCAGCAAGTCGCTCGACAGTGCCGCTGGTGGATCCTCGACACGCGGCCGCTCACGGTTCGGCAGCTCGACTTATTCGGTGAAGTGCTGGAGATGAGTGACTTTTGCTACCGATGTGAACGGTGTTGAGGACATGAAAAGCCGTGGATAGCCTTTTGTTCCCGAAAGGTATCGTGGTGCATGCTTAAACCGAGAATCGCAAGATTCCGCATTTGCGAAAGGACAAATCACAAAACGGGAGAAGCACTCAGGCACTCAGGAGGGGTAGTTAGGTGTGGAATCTTTCAATTAGAGGCACTTGATGGCGCGGCACTTGCATGTATTCAAACATGTACTGTGTATGGCTGTTCAGCTTTGAATAGTTTGGTTGCCAACATTCTGACACCACTGCTTTGATCAAATGACCTGTGACCTCCGAACACCGAGATGTAAAGAAGAACAAACCACATTCAAGGTTTTTCGACCCACCCAAATCCGTTGTCTCCAATTTGGGTCGTAAAGACGCAAAAAGAGTGCTTACAGATCCTGATCATTATATTTTTTTAATAGCCGAATCCCCTGCGAAAGACCGCCCATCGTTCTCGTTGGTTTCGCCGTTGCGATTCTCCTCGTCCTCCTCGAAGAGGACGGGCTCGTCATCGCCCTCCGCGGGACGCAGCCAGCGGAGCTCTCGGAGCTCACGGACGCTCCTGGAGCCGAGGAGGGTCGATGGGTCGGGAGGCTGATGCCGAGGGTCCGGATGGGTGGGTCCTTCCCAAGAAGGACTAAGACTAAGTAGACAAGAAGCTACTAGGAGCTCCTGGCCTTACTAGGGGCTCCTGGCATCGCTACTAGGAGCGATCGGACGCTACTAGGGGCTCCTGGCCCTACTACTAGGAACACAAAGCTACTAGGAGCTGTCTGATAGGAGCTACATGAGGAAGGATCTCCTTCAAGTGGAAGATCGTGGGAGTGTCTCCCTATTTCAATACACACCCACTTCCCAGATCTTCATGATCTTCAAAGACTTATCCTTCCATGTCCTTTCCCACCTTCCTCTTCACCATGCTCGTAGAACTCATGCGTGTCCCCCGCCCCCCCGCCTCGCAGGGGCCGCCAGGCTCCGGGGTGTCGGGGAAGGCTCCTGGCACGATGGAACGAGCTCCGGCCTCTCCGAAAAACACCGAAAAAGACCGGTGCGATGCTGCTACTACCGAGCTCTGTCTTTGCTCTGTGCGCTTCAACTGACTCAGCCGGCCAGCTTTAACGACGTTTAACGACCAAACAGGACCAGCTTTCTTGCACAATGCAGTGCTTCTCAGACAGATGCTGACAACTTACAGAGTTTCTGAAACTTGTTGGCACCCCCCAAACGGCTGATGCTCATCAGCCACCCAGCGACCTCTCTGACTGGGTCGTCTGACTTCCGAGTGAAACCACCCGCGCCACCGGCGCTCCCTCCGACCCCTGCCGCACCGGCGCCTCCTCCTCGGTCCGACGAACGTAGCGCACCACCTCCCGCAGGCGGTTCTTGGCCGCGCGCGCGGCCGACCACTCCTGGACCGGCGAGGGGCAGGGGGTTGGAGGTGGGTGTGGGTGAAACAAAGGTAGAGGAAACAACACTAATTTGATGGTATATAGTATATATATATATAATGACATAACATAATTAGTATGTATTGTACACATGTGACACATGTGGCAAGTAGTTATATATTATATGTCTTATCAGTTTGGATGTGTTTCGCTCTTTGTTTGGGGCTGACAAAAGTAGTTCAATCATTTTTGGAGCCTCCCGTTTGCCCTGGACTAGAACCTGTGATCCTGCCCTCAGGATGGCAAAACACTGCACGCCTGGAACACCGACATGACCACAGGTTTTGTTGCTATTCACATTTCTTGTTGCACTCCAGGTTGTCCCCGCCAAAAACATGTTTCGGTGACCGCACTATGGCCTCCCCCTTCAATTGGTCAACCTTGAATCCAAAAATAGACTTTTCCAATCGAAGGCGTTGAAACCCCTTGTCAAGGATGTTTCGACAGCTACTGATGTTTTCGCAACCATTCCCCCATGGGTTCCCATTGGAGTTTTGAGCTTCTGGTCCACTTAAACTCTCAGTTTGCCGTCAAACATGGTCAAACCACGTGCGACCTAATGAGTAGTTGAAGAGAGCCGAAATCATCCAGCATTATACAGCGTCTTCTACATGCCTGGTGCCCATGTCTTTCTGCTATCAAGATCACCTCCAACCCACCCCACTAGCAACCCAAACCTCGGAATTATTCTTGCTCCTCCCACAATGGATGTGGCAGGTTTTCAGGCATCATAGAATCATCACATACAATCCATCAACGTGTAATTCTGCCGGGAGTGTAGCCTGCTGGGAGCTCCAGACTGTACCCGCTATGCTGTGCCAAGTCTCTGTGGACGCTCGCACCTCTTCGCGGAAGCCTTCCAGTGTTAGGCCTGGTGGTGTGGGCAGTTTGCTTTTGCACATCGGTGATCGGTTTGATGTCGGAATGCAGTCATCTGACTTGAAGACTTCTAGACGTGTAAACAAAAACAAACAGGGGATTGTAAAATCGGAAGTTGGGTGGAGGCGTTGGTGCAATTCCCTGCTGGTCAAGGTACTTCAAGTCTTGGGCTTTTGGGATCTTTTGAGCTTCCTGGCACCGATATCCTCTACGACCACGTTTGATACGCACAGCTTTCCATCTACCTGTTGGATTATTTGCAATCCACATCCTGGTACCTCACATGGCAAACGTGCTTCCTTGAGCGCATGGCAAGCGTGCACACGACCATGGTCGTCATGGTGCCCTACTTTGACAACTTCCTGACGGTCACTCTTCTTTGTGTTCTTCCTTTTCCCTGGTCTTGTATAGTTCTTGACCTCTTCATGGTCTTGTTTGTACAGGCTTGATTGCTCCACACGGTCTCTCCACTTAGATACCGCCCGATACCGGACGCCCTGACGCGTTCGGTGGCTAGGTGGGCCTTGTTCAGGTTCACTCGGTTTTTCTTTCTAGACTCTGATGTGCGAGGGCTCTTGTGGAATGCAAGCTGCGCTCAGACAAGCCACTACTGCTTTTTGAGATCTTTTGGGCTTGTGAGGATTCACAAGCCCTCTCAGACTCCATGAACATCGTAGGCTGTTGGAACTGTTTCGGGGGTGGTGAGCCGCGGGTCAACCCGCGTCCCATGGTCATCCAAACGCCATGGCCACGGAACACCATATTTTGCCCACCAACACCCGGTCGAGATGTTCAGATCGCCCTGCACCGGGCCTTGTGCATAAGCATGGGCCTGGTGATGCAGCAGTGCCATCTCCTAAGCGAAGCCAAGGTGGAATGGAAGATCAAGAACTGCGTGAAAACCAAAGGCTTGGGTGGTTCAAGGATCTGAAACTGAAGCCGTGGTGTAGTGAGGTTTTGAGATGTTTCGGCGTCCTCAGGTTCTGTAGTCATCTTTTGGATCCTTTTGGGGGTGTAAAACAAAGAGTCAATAGTCTTCTCATTACAGGGTAAGGCAGCTGGCAGCATCCTCGTCCACGGGTTTTGGATGGTTTTGGGTACAAATAGATCTTCTCAGTGTGTCATCTTGATGTTGACTGAACGATTGAAACCTGGAATGGTGCCTGGGTGTATTGCATCAAGAAGGGACTGACTCCCAAGGAATGTGGCAGCCTGGCCTGTGAGGGTTGGTTTGGTTTCCATCCATCAGTAAAGATAGTTGACCAAAGTACAGTTTGTTGTGCTCAGCAAACATCGTATGAACCTAATACAACTGCAAAAGGAACCATCAAGAGTCTTCCAGTCCTGCCAACCGCTGAGACATCAGCATCTGTCAATTGCGTCAAACGCTTCAAGGACAACAACAGGATTTTGAAATTTTGCCTAACTTCCGCTTCTGCCGGGACCGTGCTTTGGCCCGATTTTGCCTCACTCCGACAACTCTCCAAAGAGGCCGGAACCTACCAACCTAAGATGGACCCTGAAAATAGTATCTGTGGAATTCACCATGTCCTACTAAACCAAATCAAACCACAGAAATCAGCCGGTTTGATGAACCATAAATACAAACCCGTCAGCCGGTGTCCCAAGATTCAAGATCCGTGTGTCCAAACAGCGTCACCGGCCCCTTTGCATGGGAAGCACTGGCACGCTGCGCACGCAGGCAAAACCCACAAACTCCCCAGGCGTTGACAAGGCCATCAGCGCGCGTTCGCACACAATGCACACCTGGCCAGAAAACTGCCCGGAAAAAAGCTGTGCGATCCCTATGAGGTTGGAGTAGGTAGGAGGCCATGGCTATTAGGTTGGAGGCCATCGCTACTACGCCATAGCCGTGCCATGCGACATCATGCGACATATTCTTTTCTGCTGATCTCTAGCTTCCAGCAAAATCCATCAACATCCCTTTGTAACTGCCACCTAAAAATCCGACTGATATCCCTCAAACTCCCATACGTTTGAACATGATTGGGAATACCACTAGCGCCACTGGTTGTTCCCTCATCTTGCCAATCCAAAGCGCCTCTTTCCACCTTGCTTCACCCAGGGCCACCAGCACAGCATTGGGCACCACGGTGGGTGGAGCGTCTAGTGCTGGGCTTTGCCCAAAAACATAGCCTCGACCGGTCGGATGACAAACCAGTGGAGGTCGCCACGCGATTTTTGGAGAGTGCCGTGGATTGTCCACCGGTCGCAAGGGGTGGGAACCTCTACATAGGCATAGAACATCATAGAAGCACAAAGGAACCATATAACATGATTCATTGTGCAGCAACATGTTGTATACGAATGTATACAAATGTTGGGTTGAACTTGGAGCACGCACTCAGACCGAAACACATTAGGCCCATACCCTGGTTCAAAACACCAAGCAGTACTTTCAACATCTCTCAACACACTACATCAAAGATTTGGCTTGAAACTTCTCCACCCACAGCGTCATGTTTCTATCCTGACTTGACTGCATCACTTGAACACTTGGTTCCACTCCAAGCCGCCAAAGTCCACGCGGAACAGGGACCCGTCTTGTCGCAACATGATGTTATCATCGTGGCTGTCCTTGGCCGTTTTAGTGGAGAAAGGCCCGGGGCCTGAAGACCCACACCCTAACCGTTGTGCTAAGGGAACCCTTTGCCAGAACCAATGGCTTGAGAACAAAATTAAAAACAATCGCGCCCCAGAAACCCAGCAGCTGGCCAGGTTTACCTAAATCACCAAATTCGGGATTAACTAAGAATCTGTATGGCAGGTTTGAGGGCAGACCCGGGTTTGGGGTCAAAAAGGCGCCGCCTGGCACTAGGGCTTAAGGTGTGGAACGTGGTCGCCCGTGTGTCGTCACGCCCTACTCCAATTGCGTTCACTCGCTTTGCTTTGTGGTCCCGCCCACCCGCGCAATCTATTCTCTCCTTGGTTCCAAGTTCTTTAAAAAACCAACCCTCTGGCGGGTTTCTTCTTTCCCCCCATCTTGCACATCAGCACCACACAAACCTCAAACCCGAACGCGCGCGGAGACGCGAGCGGAAAGGTTGAGTGGTAGATGGCTTTTTTAGCTTGTGTGGTTTCTTTTCTTCATTTGAGACCCTGTGCAGGGTACATGCGGCTAGTCACATTAAAGCATCTAAAGTATTGAGTCGCTGACCAAACACTCCATTGCTTGAGGCAGGGTAGCGTATGGTTTCTTCCTAATCTCTGAACAGTTGCGATGGAAGATCAAATCTCCTGCTTCTGTACTCACGGACTCTTGGTTATCAGGTTGTCAGGACGAAGAACACATATTTTTGCAAACATTTTTTACCTCTACAACTCATGTGCGCATCATCTCAAACTTCGCGGGTCTTGGAGCGATGATACAAGTTACTCGTTTTACAGACTGAGTGTCAGAATGGTTGAGGTGTGGTGTGACCTTCATGCCTCAATGAGCGCGGGGCGGAAATTTTACTTGCAGAGCAGAATCAAAAATGTAAATGCACAAAGTTGCGTCGGCACGCGCGCTTCATTGGCAGCCTTCGCCTCAGAACTTATTTCACAGCATATGTCGAAGTGGCAATGCGTTTATGTTTTGAATGCTTTCACTGCTTTATATCTGATGTGTTCCGCCTCTTCCGCTTTGCGCTGCAATTGTCTTTGTTCTTGGGCTGCTTTTTCCTTTGCCCGAGCCGCTCGGCCGCCACGAGAAACCCATCAAGATTATTTATCTAGTTGCCCGGCCCCTTCTGAAGATTTTCAGTGAATGACGTTCCAACAGCAGCGGATTCACGCTGCTCCAGTCATGATGCATCACCAACTCCCCAAACAGTAAACACTTCTGTTTACTTGTGTCAGACGGATTTCCCAAGTCGAGTCGATTTCCCAAACCATCCTCCGTCCATCCTGCAGACCCGGCTCCCGGAGTCCCAAGGCGTAGCCCGAGGTGAGATATGCCACGGTCGAGGCCGCCAAGAGGTCCTTGACATCGGACAGTGTCCGGTGGACGGTCCGGTGATCGGACGTGCCACATTAGTGGAAGGGGCCAAGGGCGTGTTTTGGTCTAAAGTGTTGTCCGACGGATTCCTTTTAAAAGTTCAACTATGTTCAACTCCATCAACTTGCCATCAACTTGCCATGGTTTTGGCTTTTTTCGGGAACAAAAAGAAACAGGATACTTCTCATGGAGCTTAACTAATCCACACACGCACGCTTCCGATCTGACAAAGGACACCCGAGTTCATTTATTAAGCTCATGCTTCTGTACAAGTCTTTCAGTGGCATGCAATGAACACTGATTCAAAGCTGGAACAGCATCTAGATTTCTTATGATTTCTGTGGCTTAAACAAACAACAGAAATGGAACATGGAGCTGGCATCTCAGCTGAAGCTGTGATGTTCGCCTGAACTATTCTTTCAGCTCCATGGATTGGGCATCTCCTTTGATTATTTTTCTCAGCTTCAGCATTGACACAACCACTTCATTGCGGGGTGACGGGACTTCTTTTCCCCAATCTTCCCCATCCGATGAGACGAGGGCGCTTGTGACGTCGGATCAGGCAAACGCTGAAGAATGCGCAAATGCCTCTGCGACGACCTCAAGTGGGGCGGGACTCGGCACCGGGTTGGGCAAGAGGCATGGTGAGCCATCTCTTGGGGTGAAGCATTTAACGAACGGGACAACTTGGAGTCAACCAGGAAATCACTCCCAAGCCGGTTCCCTGGAAAAAAGAGGTTAACCTTGTTGCACCTGTTCTTGTTTAGTGGGGAACACATCCCCCCAAGAAGGGTGGGCATCCACTTTTCCATCTTTTCCTGGGTGAGCGGTGCTGAGTTCTTGTCCAAGTCCGAGGTTTGTGTCACAGAACTTGGAGCCCCTCAACCAAGAACCCCAAAGATGTCCGATTTCAAACACACAACAGGGCGTGCGCTGGCAACGGGTTCCTGGGATTCCGAACTTATTGAAGGATGTCCGAACTCATAACTAGTGGAGTCCATCCAAGCAGTCCATCACGAGACCCCTTGATGATCCTGGTAGATCTGTTGCATGTGCTTATCCTTATTAACCACTATATAGTAAGTCGGGTTCACCGGGTTGGCTTCGTTCATGCGGGTGCCACCCGACGCGCTCTCGTTGCACTCTCCGGATGGAGAACATCGGCGTGCAACTTCTGTTGCCGCCCTTCCGGTGTCCCTGAGTTTCGGATAGAGATCAGGAATCTGGTTCCGTACTTCCATGTACTTCGACGTAATTCTGGAATCTGGTCAGGAGACCGGAAGGCAAATGCCAAAGGCATTATCGTTTTCATTCGTTTCCAACTGAGCCTGTATGGTCCGCTAGTCAGAATGAGTTGAGCATCTCCAATACCTTTCCATACCTTTCCATCTCTTCCCCAAAGAGCCTAGAGTCTCTATCATACACCACACATCCGTCATCTGCTTTCCCTCCAATCTTCGGCAGCAGCGCCTCATCAGCGCCTCATCCAAGGCACTCCTGCGCGAGCTCCCGCAGGTTCCAACAGTCTGCCACGGCCTCCACCAGGCCAGCCGCATCCATCAAGGGATCGATCCCATAGGTCACCGTCTGCACCAACTGACCGCACACCTGGGAGAAACGAGACAGGATGGATGGCCGGAGATGGGAGGGGGTGGATGAGGAAGATCAAGTGGGAGCTGAGTTTGCTATGGAAGAAAGGCACATGATTGTGTCTGAAGACAAGCTGACTCTTAGAATCTCAGGGTGCTCCAAGTGCGAGCAACACCAATCACCACCTGCAAAATATGTGCCAAAGCTCCCGCAGCCTGCATCACTTTTGCAGTTTCACTTTTATGATCCACAAGAAGTCACAAGATGGAAAACCACAAACGCACCTGCAAAACCAGCAAGTCAGCAAGTTGAACGAGCGGGTGATTGCGAATCAATTCACTCAAATGATTGAACCAAAGCCTTTTGGGATCTGTTGGGATCATTTCAGTCTCTGTTGTTTGTCCACAGAGACTGAAGTACGGTTGCTGCAGACGGGCGTGACGGATGTCACGGTCGTTGCTCTTCTTCTTCACATGACCTTTGCCACTGGCACACCCGAATGAGGAGCTAGAGGTTCTGATCCCATTCGTATCCCAAGACAGCTCCATTTTGTATCCTCAACTCCCTTGGACTTCTCAATCCCCATCGCCCGCCCTCTTCCTCCGTCCCGGTCTTCCGACCATCTCCCAACCACCTCATCGCGACCATCTCATCCGTTCGTCTCATCCGTTGTCCGCCCGAGCGGCGCGGATGTCCAAGGCCCGCCAGCACTCGTTCATCCGCCGCAAGGCTGCCATGATCGCGGCCTCCTGGTGCAGGTCGGTGAACTTCAAGATCACTCGCCGGTCACCTGGCCGAACGTTCCCAGTCCTCGAAGGGATGGACCGGGGGAACCGACCAATGGCAGGCGACCACCGTAGACTTTGATCACGAGACGGGCTGGGAAATAAGTTCGGTACCAGTTGATTCCAAGCAACTCCTACATTGCGATGCCTTTCTCGCGACCCATTGAGGTGCCACATCAGCTCAAAACCACCTCCAAACTACCAACAGTTCATTGAAGAAGTCCTTGGACTGGGTCCAAAACATTTCATCCTCCGTCCATTCCATACAGCCCAAAACTTGCCAGAACTATTTGGGCCAGCCAGCCACAGCCAGCCTTACTGGACTGCACCGGATCATCGTTTAAAACCGTGTCTCGAACCTGGCTGGAGGTGCAGCAACCGCGCATTGGAGGCCGAATGGAAGATCTTCTCAAGCTTAACTGAGCAAGCATGGCTTCCGAAGTCCAGCCAACCTCCCGGGTTGCGACGTTGCGACGGGCATGGGGGGATCAAATCAAAGAGGTCAGAGATGATCTACTTGCCTGCGACAAAAAAGGACATATACACACAAGCACACTATTGCATCACTTGGTTTAGTGATCTGTGGCAGTCATTCTTCGTCAGATCAGTGCATCATCCAGTGCCTGGGAAAGTAAAGACTTTTCCCGCAGGAGCTTCTGATAAGGTTTGCAGAAGTTCAGGATGAAGCTGCAACAAAGTCCTGAACGAGCACGAGTCAAACGTCAAGAACCGGTGACCTTTCCCTTTGCTATACTGTAGGCCTTTTGTCGATTTGCCCAAAGTGAGAACAACTGCCCCTGCTTTACTTCGATCATCTTCGATCCCAGCTTGCACCTATCGTGCCAACTGCTTCCACCAACTCACCGATGCTAGAAACAGCTAAAAACACTGGCACCTCATTCCTAGACTTGGTGACGCACTTTCTTCTATTTTCTTTTCTCTGACTGGTGCGACGAAAGCAGGGAATGAGGGAATGGATCCAATAGAATCTCTATTGGGGGCTCATTCCCTTATTCCCTACGAGTCGCACCAGTCAGTTTCTCCGTTCGCCGTTTTCCGTCCTCGGCTCCGCTTGGGGCGGATCCAACGGCCCCTCATCGTAGAGCCGCTCGGGGAGCTTCAGCGCGGGAAGAGGTCCGTCGCCGTCCATGCCACGCGGCCATGGGGCGGGCCGTTGCAAAAGAATCCCAAACCCAGAATGGCGTTTTGTTGGTTGAGATATTCTCCCTGGACGGCTCTGTCTCTTTTCAGAACGATTTTTATATGGGGATGGATGTATGTGTAGAATGTTTGTCATGCAGTCACGATCTGGTGTGTTGAAGGACCCGCACTGTGTTCACATCACATACAAACACACTTGACGGGCGGTTTCATTGATTTCTATTGTAACTCAACTACAGTAGGAACCTCAAGACCTCACTTTGATTCCACTTTCTGGCGAACACCCCATACATAACATCAGACCAATAGTCTTCCAACATTCGCCCACTTTGGAAATCACCAGCTGTCCAACCGTTCGGCCATAGAAAAACACCTCATCTCCCCCCAAGAAAGGCTGCGGAACCCGAAGCGTTGATAGGCTGCGTGTCAGACCTCAGACCCGTTTGGATGGACGCCTTCCACCCGTTTGGATGGACGCTGAGGACCGCCACGGCCAAGGAGAACTTCAACGTTGGAACGGTACATCTCTTGGCGACCTGGACCGGAGCGGACCGGAACGACCGTCACGAAAAGGGAGGACGGTGGGAGGGGGCCAGTCCGTGGATACCTCGAAATTAGATTCCAGAAGAAGTAGATGGAGTTTCCCTTGAATTGCACATGATCAAGGCCGCAATGAACGGATCAAGGCCGCAAATGACAGGTGACAGGATCACCACTTCAAAAACACGTGCAAGATTCAGAGAAAACAGAACAAAGCCAAGGAAAAACCAACAAATCCAAAGACATACTCCTACATTATATGGACATCATAAAGGCATAAATATATACATATCCAGATCTGGACAGGCTGGAAACCAACCTCCTGAGCTTTGCCTACTTGCTTGTTTCCCCAAACACGAACATAGCAATCCCCTGCTTAAGAGAGCAATGAACAGCTCCCTAGACCCCTACGATCCGTCAGAACGGCACTTTCAGGTGTTTGACCGTTGAGCATCCAACCACCATGAAAACAACAAGACATTGGCTCGGGTTCCCCCTGCAAAATGGTAATAAAAGGGCTTCTGGTGCCTTTTTGGTTGCCATGTTGCCTGTCATGTTTTCTTGTCTTCCTTGCTGCTGATGTTGTTTCCTCAGGGGGTTCTGGGGATATTTTTGTCCTGCCAGATGAGGGTCTCTGTTCTTTTTAAAGATTTTACATCAGTGTTGTCGAGGGCTGCTATTGCGGCAGAACTTTGGGCACACATATCCTCAGCTGGTCGCAGTTGCAAAGCCCATCCCACATCTTCGCTCTTGCCTCAACACTGATTATCCTGGCAGCTCGATATGTTCCGAATATTCTACGTAGGCTGCCTGACATTTGAGGCAAGAAGCCGGTGTTGAGAAAACGAAGCAAGAAAAACAATCTTCGAGGAACACAAGCCTAAACAAGCCCTATTAAACCTCTTCCAACAAATGTGATGAGAGTGACATCAGAAATCCACAGAAACCCAACTAAGCTCAGGGAGCGTCAACAAACAAACATAACAAACACCATAGGAACAAACACCTTGAGCTGCTGAACTCCCCCTGTAATCATTTCCCCCAGGTTTTCCTTCTCTGTGAGCGAAGCACGTCTCACGTGACGTTTCGTCTCACCTCCTCGAAGAGCTGGCTATGGCGTTGGTTGGCCAAGGCGAAAGCATAAACAAGCATCGAAAAGTTCATGGGCTGATACCTCAACGGGGCAAATACGCAAAACACGGCCAAGCACGACCTGCAGTAGACATGTGTGATTTTCGCACGGTGCGGCACGCGTTTTCTTTGATGCACATCCATGAAGATTCAGTGGGTGAGGTGAATGATGGTCAGCAGGAACTAACCAAGAACAGCAATAGACCTTGACTGTAATACTTACTCACTCCTTCTTTACACACCTCAAGGCCGATCATAGAACAGTTCTGTTTTTTTTTTCGGTGGCTGAGGCTTTCTTGGAAAGAAACATAAGGCAACCAGGAAACCATCAATAACTCCGTCCGCTCAAAACATCGTTCGACAACCCACATCCACTTTAACCAGCCGATTCTCTCATTCCATTCGATGCGGAAGCCCTCCAAATGTGGGCAACATGGCACACGCGTACAAATAATTACACATGTACAGACGCGCATGTCTGCAACATAAGAGTCCACAAGTGCACTTCTCAATGCTCAATGTCCCGGTGTGAATGATGTCAGGGTCCAGAGATGTCAAGAGCGCTGCTGATTCTCGAGCAATGTCAAGGCGAGAGCACCTCTGCAAGTCTTTACTTGAAGATTGTGAATTACACAGAATCAGTTATTGCCGCGCTTTGGCTGCCTTCTACACAACTGTCCGTTCTTGCACGAATCGGCATTTGGAAACAGGAGGCCCTGGGTCGGAGACTCTCTGTGCGGGCAAGTTGCCTCAGCCTAGGAAACTACGTTGGAAGGAACTCGGCAGCTTAACACCCATGCTTGGGAGCACCTTGGTCACGATTTGTTCGGAAGCTTGTTGATAGGCTTTCTTGAACACCAACGTGTTGGGCTTTTCTCGGGAAACTTCAATGAGTTGCACAGGATTGCACAATGCCTCAATGGTACAAGAGACTTTGTCGCAGCGCCTGTATGGCCGAGGATGTCCACCGTGCGAGTAGAATTCGTGAAAACGATCCGGTGGCGGAAAGCCGCAGTTCTGGAGGTTTTTCACCCTTGCGTACTCGACAAACAACGGGCTGGCTAGAAAAAGCTTGAGATGGTGACCCGAAGAGTCCTGATGTGACATTGGCGCAAACAAGCAATTATTGCCAGCAATGATCTCCATCACCTCGGTCGTGCTGATTTTTTGCTTCATTTGGAATTTGCCGTCAATGCGTTGTCGCAGTTCGCGACCCATCAAGTCTGCAGCTTCTGAATTGAATGGAGCAACCAAAGTCAAAGAACTCATCGTGGCATCGAACCAAGGTCTAGACCAATATTTGGTTCCGAGAACAATCGCAGGATATTTCTTTGAGGATCCACAGATTTGTTGTGAGGCATCGAATCCACAACTGCGAAGCCAATGGGGTTGCTTGTCCATCTCCCGATCTAACAACTTCGGTTTCTCCTTAAACAAAGTGGTCGCCATTGAGATGGCCTCTGTCGGATTCCATGCCACATTGAAGTCAGAGATGCAACATCGCTTGACTCGGAAGGCATTCAAGGATGCAGCTTTTCCCTGTCTAAACAACGATAACATCGGTGCTGCCCAAAATACTAGATGCGTACTACGCGCCTTGGGCCAGGCCAAAGCTCTTGCTCTTGGGCCAAGAAAAGGATGATCGTGAATGACATAGAGTCAAATCCTGTCAAATTGAACAATCCAATAATTGAACAATCCTATTCCACGTCCGTTGAACAATCCAACAGTCTGGGATGTCTGCATCTTAATGATAAGAAACGCCAATGAAATGCTGACATCCAAGGATCAATATTGCGCAAACAGGATCATAAAGGAACATTTCTTAAGGCAAAGCTGTCCACTGCTCCTGAATTCTCTCTCCCACCCTCGCCTCCATTTTGGGTGTCTGGACATCAAGAAGAGAAGTCGATAGATGAAGATAAAAGCAAAGCATACCGCATACGAGAGCAAACGGATGGAAACAAGAAACACAACATATATAAACTCCAACCACCATGGCAAGAAGGAACGAACACACATAACAAAACCAAACATGGAGAGAAGTGAAGCGCATAGACATGCAAAAGGGACCAGTAGTCGGAACGGAAACTGGTGGTTGCTAGACGGTTGAGCCAGTTGACTGGGGCCGCACGATCCATAATGCTAGATTCGTATTGTTAGATGTTGGGTCCGGGGTCAACCTCTCCAATTCTTTTCAAACCTTCCTTCCTTTCAGACCACCATATGGATTCTTTATTAATCAACGGTTTCATGATACACCTCTGCAACTCCCAGTACTGTAGGCAATTGCTTTCCATCCAATTATAACCAAGCATATATTTGTGAGTTTAGATGTAGCCAAGCATCGTGGTTTTAAAATCTATTTTTCTTAATGTTTTTTTTTCCAATATGTTTCTATTTATGTTTTTACAAAGTGGTGTTTTTTGGTTTATGATATTTTTATGATTTTTTTAATGTTCTATTTTATGTTGTATTTTATGTTTTTAATATGTTTTGTTGAAGTGCCTTTTTCATGTCTTCCCTTTAGCGTTTGTTTTTTTCTTGCTATCTTTCGGCAAATTCACCAATCGTTTTTGGCCTGTGGTTGAAGGTCCGTTCAAGGTTCTTGGTTTGCGAGCCAAATAAATATCAAGTATGCAGAAGGCCTGCAACATTTCATGTCCGTGATGTGATTGATAAGGGCTAGTGTAGCTCAGGACTCGCGAGGGCCAAAGATTGAAAAAACGGAGACAGGCGCTAACAATTAACGACTGAATTGATAGGATTCTAAATCTCAGACGTGCAAAGTGTCACGTGGCCTTGGGCCAAGGGCAAGGTTTCGCGGCATTACTTGCAGCTACGTTGGTATAAGCCACCAGGCATTTAGCAAATAGAAGTAATATCAATGGCAAGTTCTATGCTGCAGACACGGTGCAAAAAACCAAGCAGTGCGCAAGGTTTAAAGTGTTTGACGCCTTTAAGCCTTTAAGTAAGAAGGTTTCAGTTTACGCTGATTCCCTCAAGCCTGTGAAGGCTGCGCCGTACTCAGGGCCACAGGGAAGGAAAGGAACAGGACTTAGCGTTTGCTCCCCTGGCTAGCTCTAGGTGACCTCCCACCTGCCTGGGACTTCGGACGCGCCAGCTCTCGAGGGGCAACTGCGCAACCTGCAGACCTAGCCGCCACCTTCCCAGCCACCGCGCTGCGTCCTACCCCAGCCGCGGAGGCGCGCCGCGCGGAATCATAAAAAAAACATAAACAAAACATAAATGAAAACATATTGAACACATAAACACATCATAAAAAATCAATATAAAAACAATACCATCTCCGAAACAGGCACATTTTTCGATATGTTTATGATTATTTTTTTTAAAATATATATATATATATTTAAATGTTTTCAATATGTTTCCATTTATGCTTTTTTTATTTTTATTTTAATGATTCCGCGCGGCGCGTCTCCGCAGGTGTGGGTAGGACGCGGCGCGGTGGCTGGGAAGGTAGCGGCGAGGTCTGTAGGTTGCGCAGTGGCCCCTCGAGAGCTGCTGCGTCCAAAGTGTAGAGGCAGGTGGGAGGTCACCTAGAGCTGGCCAGGGCAGCAAACGCCAAGTCTGCCCGGCCTGTGGCCGGCCCTGTGACGCTGAGGAAGGGGCCTTTCATGTTATGATTTTTTATCATGTGTGCACGCGCGGCAGAGAGAAGCTTAGTCGTGTTCCTGGTCATGGTCAGTGCCTTGTTTGTTGGTTTGAGTGCCTGCCTGCTGGTTTTACTGGCAGCGGTCATTTCTACGTCTAGGCAGAAGCCTGGCTTTTTACGGCGCAGTCAAAAGTGACTTGGTTTGGGTTGCTAGACCCTAAAGCCCGAGCCTTGCCTCAAGCTTTACCGGTCGTACCCACACCATTCACATAGGACGCAAAGTGCGCTAGGTTAGCGTTCATTGACAGATATCCAGGGCCTGTATTCGGATTGCAGGCAAATTTTGACTGCTGGGAGAGGGTTTGCATAGTTTCTTTTGCAGAGTGAGTTATTTCATTTATATACTTGGCTGGAAACCAATACTTTGCAAACCAATTTTTTCAACACAAGAACAATAGGACAGAAAACAGAAACCCTGAAGAGGCAATGACATTTAAGCATCAAGGAAATTTGATGAAACACAGTGTACTTTATTAAGAAACATAAAAAACTATAAATGAAAACATGAATGAACACATTAAAAACACATTTAAACAACATTAAAAAAACACACATACAGATACAACAAAACTGCAAAAAACATAAATTAAACCAGATTGAAATCATAACAACACATAAAACAATCATAAAAAACATAAATCACTTAAACGGCCTTGTGGCTCACATTTAGACTCACAAGCATATATCAATATAATGAAATAAGATGACATAAGCTAACTTTAGGCCATTTCATGACGTTGTGTTTTTGTGATTTCTTTTGCTTCACTTGCGCCATTGAACCCGGCACCGGTTCGCCCGGCGAACCGCAGTGTACACCGGGTCGAGCGGCTGGTCCAGCTCTGCCAAGGCCTGCTCCGCAGCCAAGGCAAACAGCTCCTCACCGTGACATGGGGGGCCCAGTCCACCGCCCGGTCCATTGGGCCGATGCACTGTCTGGGCTAACAGGCGCTTTTGGGTCTGCGGTCCTCCACCTGCGCCGTTTTCAAGTGACACAGCTACCTATCCAATGTGGCACAACTTCTCAGTGTAGCCGATGGTGTTCGAGGTGTTTCTTTTTCTGCAGTTCCGCCGGTCCGTGGTCCCTCGGCTCTTGATGTCAAGTTTCAGCTCGAAGCGTTTCTTGCCCTCGCTTTTGCTTACGAAAGGGTGGAAAGGACGGAGGCTGTGCCGTGTCGGTGGAACTGGGTTTGTTGGTGGACACATGTTTTTTTTTTTTTTTTTTTTTTACAATCCCATTTGAGATGGAGATACTCACCGAAAAGAATCACGTTTTGGGGGTTGTGCATGAGTGACTTTTAATCCCTCTTCTTCACTGGGAGAGGGCTATGAAATTGGGTTGCTCGCAAAACCAACCGTGGTTGATGGCTCGGGCTTTGGTCTTTCGACGTGCGGAGGTGACCAGACCGGTTGGGGGCAAGTGCGAATCGCGCATCTCCTGGTCTACGTAGCCGCACTTGGCAAAAGCCCAGGCGGTGTTGGCCTTGGGGGTCGAACCGTGTGTTTGAGGTTCTCAACTCAGCAAATGAAGACATGACTGTGACATCACCGGGCTTCTATGAAAAGCAGTTATATATGTGTGTTCATTGATTTGTGTTGATCATAAGTAGGCTGGCGGCGGCGCACCGTGTGGCCCATGTCCATGCGTCCACTCTTCCAGTGGGCCGTTGGTAAAGGATACACTCCCATGTCCATGCGAACATGGAAGTGGATCGCACCACCTGTTTGTAGACTGACCATTGTTATCCTTTTGGGGGCCAACGCAATATGGAGTGCCCCAAATATCTTCCTCTGAAGCGTACGGGGCGAGCAGCCTCAACCTCGCCAGATGGGGGAGGCTTGGGGGTGAGGTGGGGCGACCGGATTCGGCTCCACCCGATTCGCCCATCCACGCTCGATCTGGGTGAAGCCTACCACCTGCTGCGGCTGGAAGTCTTTCAGCTGTCGCTTGACCTTGAGAGCCAAACCCAGCTGCAAAGTGTCGAAACATCCAAACAGATCCAAACCCAGACACCGTCTCACTCATTCACTATAGTGGATCACACTGGATCACTCGCGGAGGTGCTGCGGAAGACTCCCTAAATCTCTGCAGTTGTCCGGGATCCTCATGGGTGACAGAAGAAACTTTCTGCAAGGGAACCAATGTCCAAGTCTGAGCAATGCGATTCTCAGTGCGCAATACCCTGCCCTGCCCAACCTGAATCACACGCCAGTCACCGTTCTTTCAACCAATACAGCAATTGTTCTTTTCCTTTATATATAGAGTCTCCCTGCTCCGCCTCCTTCATCTCCCTTCCGTTTACATTGCCACCCCTAGCACAAGGGCATGGGTACATGGAACCCTGCAAACAAGCAGGTAAATTACCTTTTACTTTTATTACCTGAACTATCCTAAACTACCAGGGGAATAGATCCCATAACAGCAGACTGCCTCGCGCAAGGGTCATCTATCAAAGAGAGGACACTTACATGCGCATGATACTACCCTCCCAGGCTATATATTCGTTTGTAGTTTAACTTATTCCACCATATTCCATCCTTCCAAGCCTTGCTTCTCTTCACTTTTCACAGTGTAACAGGGGTGAAAGTTCAAACTGTGCTTTTTGGACTCCATCCTTTATACATCTCTGACCCTTCTAACCCTTCCAACCGGGACCGTCCCCGTGTCTTTTCGACCACCAGATGTTCCACCGACCGCCAAGGAGTACTGGGTCTTCGGAGGGCCTCGCCGCTGGTGGCCGCCAGGAGCTTCTCATCGTAGATCCCAGACCTCTTTGGCTTCTCCGCAGCTTCGCCCGGTTGGACCCGGGCTCGGCCGGTCGGTCGGGAATTGAAGAGAGAAGGGATGAGGTCAGAGAGAAGAGGGAAGAGGTCGTTGAGACGGGTGTGAAGCGGTTAGGTCAATCTGACCAAGAAGAAACCATCCCATGGCACCTCTTGGTCACACCATGCACCTCTTGGTCACGCAGATACGAGACGTGGAGGGCTCCAGGGATCTCCAGTGCAGCTGACAGAAACCACCCTGTTCTGAGGCCACAGAAGGTCTATCACGACCCACGGACCCTGTTCTATGCAAGACGCAGACTGGGCCCACCAGGCAAAACCGGCGGTCAACGAACCGGGGGACTGGCACAGAAGGAGAGGCTGCTGAAATTCCCCAGCTGAACAGGGCATATTCACGGCACATGTGAGATTGGACTTGGACAAGAAAACCCAGTCCAAACATGCTGGTCCTTGTCCTTGCCAAATCGACCAAACAATGAGGGTGTTCCTAATCATGCACTCTTTCAGCATTCAAGAAACTTTTTCCAGCGATCCCTCTCAAAAAATTGGAACCAGCAACATCATCAACTCTCAATGTCAGAACCTAAGACCTCCATCCCCACCACCGTTCAAACAACACCACCAAACGCGCAGCATCGCGCAGCATCGCGCTCGGCACCTCGCAAAGGCCCACAGGGTCATCGAGAGGTTCACCGGTTTGAAGGCCTCCAAGCGAAGCCTGGTGCACCGCACCGCCGCGCATCCGCGAATCGCGGCCGCGGCGCCAGTGTCGCGACACGTGTGGCGAACGTGACCGCCACACGGGGCGCCCGACAGGATCCGCTCGGCCAGGAGGTTGAAGAGGACGCCATTTTGGACGCCCAGCTTGGTGAGACCCCAAACCACATTTGAGAGGTCCTGAGCTTTCCGAGCATTTGAGAGGTGCAGAACCGGAGAAACGAACCTGCGACAAGCATTATGGTCAATGTAGAGAATGCATAAAAAACACAGCCTGATGAACTTACCCTAATGTTGAACTCTGTTGGACATAGACTTAGGACATTCAGATATTTTAGGACATTGACATTCACTTCTTGTTAGGTCTGCTTTTCGGCTCCCTCAAGCTGGTTGACATTGACATCCACTCATTGGGTCATGTCCAGTGGGGGTGTCAAAGCTATCTTACGCCACCCGCGTGAGACAACGAGAGCCGGATCAGGGTGGCACAAAACCAGACAAAGAGAGAGAGAGAGAGAGAACAAAGAAAAAGAACTGTAAATATATGTAAATACCATGAAATTCCAATCAACTACAGTATTTCAACAATGGTTTGACTAGATGACCCGACAAGGAATTTCCTTTATTCGATGGTGCGAAATACAGTCTTTTTGGACTTCTAGGGCCTCTGGGAGGCCGGTGCCTGCATCGCACAGGTGTAGACTGTAGACCAAATTTGATCATACTTTGAAATCAGGTTGGGGTACAGTATATGTAGGTCCAGTCGATTGGAGGGAAGTTGATCGATGGTGGAATCGACATTGGTGTCATATCCTGCAAACCCCTTGCGCCAATGAGTGAACTATCCAGAAAGGCCCATCAGCCCTTTTTTGACATGGTATGCCACAGCTTCCCAAAGCTCTACGTAGCTACTAGCTGTCTTTGGTGCCTTCCAGGAAGCACAACGACCCCATCAAGAAACTGGAAATCCGGGCGCCGGCCACGCGCACGTTCCCTTGCCGGAGGCCTTCGGTTGGTAACCGAAGGTTATATACGCTCGCCGCCCCTGCCGCCGACCCTTTTGTTGGACCCCCGGTATACCCCCGGTCGACCCCCGCCCGAATCCGGTCGACAGATTTATATGTTATCTAATAGTTTTTTTGCGCATGATGTGGAAAACATCGTTTTTTACAGTGTTTCGTGGCCTTCGGCGGACACGACTTTCGTCTAACAGGGCGCCGGTGGCGTCGGTTATGCGCGCCGCGTGGACAGGCTTCATCGACATTTCGTGGGTGTTGGACACGCGCCAACAGCAAAGGCGGAACATGTGTTCCAAGATGATCTGACAGAGGCCCTCGAGAGGACTCAACATTGTCCTAGATATGGCACACATAGCCGCAAGATGACCCGACCTAGGTCCTAGATATGGGAAACATAGCCCCTAGATGGGCCAAGACTGCCTCAAGATGTGGCAACATAGGCCTCACACAGTCTCAAAAAGAGAGAGAGAGAGAGAGACAGAGAAGACCGAGACAGAGACAACCCAGGCAGAGACAGAGAAGACCGAGACAGAGACAGAGAAGACAGAGACCGAGACGGACGGCAGGACACGTGCAAGACGGCTCTCCCGACTTCGGCGTATACCAGGTATACGCCCGGGCGGTCAGCCCCCTTCTCGAGAAGGATGCTCCCGGGACGCCTGAAGTCCCGGTCCCCGTCTTGCACAGGGAGGGGTTGTTCGGCCCCCCACCGACTGAAGATGTAGACGATGTGCACCTGGCGAGAACGAACTCACAGACACTGCTTTCTGCACTCACAGACACTGCTTTCTGCACGCATCGCGCATCCAGCGCTCGCTGACCGGTCTTTTTTGGCTGCTACGGCCTGGTCGTTGTCATGAAGTTGGCCGCGTGAGCGATGCTCTTGCGGAGGCTAGAGCGAAGGCGTGAGGATTGTGCGATTGGACGCACACAGCGTCTTGGCCCTCGACAGTGGTGGAATGGCGGGGGTTGGTGATTAGACGGTTGTTTCCACCGCTTGTTTAGTCATGTAACACTTTTGACATACCCACGTCAAAATCGTGACAGGGCCTCAAGAATGCTGTGCTGGATGGGTCGCAATATTTGCAATGCGACTCTGACAGTGTCATGTGCTGGCAGATGGTCTAACCGAACCTTTGGCTCCACAAGCCCGCGAAAACGAAGCCATGGCCGAGGCCGTACGGGAGCATACAGTCGAGATTTCTGCTTTGGTGCTGCTCTACGCTTTCTTCACTCTCTCTAGCTTACTAACTCGTTCCTACTTAAACAGACCCAGTTGCTTCCGTCAGCACTTGCACGTCTACCCCTTCTCCGCATCTCCCTGGCTTCCCACTCCCGTGCTCTCCCCTGGCCTCGTCCTCGAGGCATGCTTCCAACTTGCTGTTGTCGCCGCCCAGCTTCCATTCCTCACCTGCAGCGACGTACACGAAAAGTTCCTCCGGTTAAACACACACCCATTACCCCATTTAGTCTTCTTATTCCACTGCTTCCCCATCCCTTTCCACTTCTCCACTATATGCTACTACTCCTCCTCCATTCTGAAATACACCCATTACACATTAACACTCGATATTTATCACGTGTATTCTAACCAACATCCTTACCGACAATGTGCTCGCAACCGAAATTTCCCTTTGATTCCCTTCACCGTATCCAAACTTATCCTACCGCACCAGCTGCCTTCCCCGCCTGCGATCCACTGTGTCCGACGGCTCTCCCGACCTTCGGTGTGCTGCGTGCACACCCGGGCGGTCAGCCCCCCTTCTTGCGAAGGATGCTGCCGGGACGCCCGAAGTCCCGGCCCCCGTCGTACACGAGGGTGGGGAAGCGATGCTCCCCCACAACCTTATAGCAGAGATAGGGAAAGAGACAGACACAGATACCGACACATTCCAAGACGGAGACAGAGACGAAGACAGAGACAAACAGAGAGAGGGGAGAGGGAGAGAGAGAGAGAGAGAGAGAGAGAGAGAGAGAGAGAGAGAAAGAGAGAGGAGAGAGAGAGAGACAGAAAAAGATACCTAGACGAAGACAGAGACAGATACAGACAGAGAGAGGAGAGGGAGAGAGAGCGTGAGAAAGAGAAAGGGGAAGAGACAGAGAAAGAGAGAGAGTACCCATCCCTACACACACCCACCTTATGCGGCTCACTTGGATCTTCGGGTTGGGTCCTCTGTCTCTCTCTCTCTCTCTTTTTGAGACTTGGTGGGGCCTATATTGAGTAAAGTTAAGCCATCTCGTGCGCATCTTAGCGCTAGGTTAGGCCAAGTTGGGCACATGTGGTCTATGTTGGGCACATCTTGTGCCCATGTTGAACCTATGTTGGGCATATGTTGGCCTATGTTGGCCTCGGTTGGGACTATGTTGGGCATATGTTGGCGTATGTTGGGCATATGTTGGGGAGGCTATCTTGTGCCTATACCCTCTCCCTGCTCCCTACTTGGCCGGCGCCCGGCTGTCAGGCGTAAGCCTCATAAATCGGCCAGCGCCAATTCAAGTGGCCACAGCGGAGGTAACGGAACTCCCACCCAAGCACACACACACACATCATAGCTGGAAAGATCAACATCCTCAACACCGACAGAAATACCATGAAAGAGAACATCTGAAAGGCTTGCAAATCCTTTATTCTTTGACCCCCATCACAGGTGTGTCTGGCACAGACCCTGGTCCTGCGGCTTCAGCGACGCAGGGTCAGCTTTCCGCACCGTGTCCGACAGCCTCAGCATGGTGCCGAAAGAATGCAAACCGAACTCCAAACAGGACGTGAACTCCAGGTCGATGATGGTTGGCAGTCTCACTTGCTGCCATCATAATTTTGAAGCACCCCCAAAAAAGAACTCCTAGCATCCTTCAACATCCTTCAAAGACTTTGTTCAAGTCCTGAGTTCGAAGCGCCAAACATTCAAACATACACACATGCACACATTCAGGGCTCTCCGAGTCTAAATTTGGATTTTAAGTTTCCCCAAAAGTCTAGGAACCAAATCATTCGTGGAAGCATGAGCTATCCTGCGCCCATGCTAGTAGCTTACCTCTCCCTCACTTATATAATTAAGTAGGGAGGGGAGAGCAGACTTTAAAACAATTACTGTAACAGCTTTTTCCCGCTCTCTTTCGCTTGCTCTGTTCTCCGTCCTCCTTTCTCCAGCGGCCCAGTGGCTTCGTCACCAGCCGTCGGAAGCGCAACTCCCGGCGCACCGCAGCCTGGTTTAGGCAGTCAGCTGAAAAAAGAAAGATGGGGTATGTGCACCACGGATTCCGGGTGTCCATTAATAGGCCAAGGAGGTGATAAGGGGGTGTCCATTCACCACCCCGACTGGGGGTCCAGGTATGTGTAGGTGTATGTGTCACACCCGGTCCTCCAAGGGTTTTTACACTGACCTATGCTCGTAAACGAGCCTCCTTCAAAGTGTGTGTTTTGTCTTGTTTGTTTCTAGTGTCCACTCTCCGAAATCACTTACTCTGGGGATTCGAGGGTGAATTTGGATAGAAGTGGTGGACGCAAGTTGCAAGCTTTCAGGTCTAGGTCCCAGAATGCGTCATGTTTTTTCAAAAGACAGGGGACCACTCTCTTAAAAGCAATGGAGAGAAGTATGCCCAAGCAATCATAGTCCTCTGCAATCGACTTCATTGCCATGACCTCATGGGTCTCTGACTGATACCAAAAGGTTTTAAGTTGATCAGCCCCAATGGTCACTGAGACATCCAAGGACTGAACTTTAGGGGCTTGATCCCAGGGTCCATCTTCGTTTGGATGAGGAATTCGTGCCAACTCTTGTGTGCGCAATTTCTCCAAAGAGGACGGCTGTAAGTCGCAAGGAATTTTTCCCGAAGCAGGCGGAAGCCGGACGACAGTAGCTCAAACAAGAGGAAGTTCTTATCACAACCTATATAACACATATACAGTACTATTTTATACTGTATAACATGACGGTATTTGTTTAAGAACCAACACATTTCAAACAAATACAAACCAAAACAGATTAAGCATCTTAGACTATGCTGCATCATCTGCGTTGTCAAGCCTCCACAGAAACCGACTGAGCCCAGAACAACGAACCATGTTGGAACCAATTTGGGTGTGCTTTTACAAACAAATCAGACCTGACCTGACCTGACCTCCCAGTTTTCGAGCCCCGGACATAGACCAGTCTACCCAGTGGTTGGAGCTCTCCCTGTGGAAAAGAAACACACGCTTGCACCCATGTCATCCCTCCGCAGCGGTCTCCCATCCCGAAACCCGACACCGTCTCGCGCCGCGCCTTTCGAGAGGCTAAGGAAACGGTGGCCAAGCGATGCAAAGCGGTGATGAGATTCACCACCTGGGACGATGAGATTCACCAAAGGATGACGACTCGGCTGTTCGGGGTGAGACAGAGAGACAAAGAGAGAGAGAGAGAGAGAGGGGGAGAGAGAGAGAGAGAGAGGGAGAGGGAGAGGGAGAGGGAGAGGGAGGGGAGACTGACAGAGGTTTCATGACCGACACAAATGGATTTGTCTCCAAAGAAAGGAATATAGAAAAAACATGAAAAAACCACTTCTAGAACAAACACCGGTCACCAGACCAGTCTTCGCCTTGAATCCTTTTGGCCCTGCAAGACGAAACACCAATGGTGAATCAACGGATCCACGGGTTTCACGCAACAAATAAACACATCCAATGGGTTCCACCTTCTGAAGCCTTGGGATTCAACCAAGTCCTCCAGCCCACGAAAAAAAAAATACGCCGCGCGGAAGGACCGCCACCGCCGCGTCGCCGGACCGGGTGTCCCAGACGTTCAGCTGTTCAAAGTTTTCGTCCACGACCTTCACAACCGGTCCAACGAGCCACTGGAGACGCAGGTTGGTTGGTACCGAATGAGACACCACGACCAGGTCGTGGTGTTGGATTGAACATTGATGAGACACATTTGGGTGAGATCATTTTGGGAATGTAGTAGGATTAGGTTTAGATGTTGGGCGATGGTGATGGATAAAAGAGATTCAAAAGGCCCGTTTTGCACTCACCAGGATCTCGCCTGGTCTTGCTCACTCACTTCTCCGACTGGGAACTCCACGAAGGATCGGGACGGACATCCACATGGCGCCACTGTGGCACTGTAGGTCAGGGTGGACTGCACCCTGCTACAGTGCCTACAGTGCCCATTTTGTTGAGATGTCCACAACATTGCACATCAACAACCACATAGTCACGACACCGTGCAAAGCCATAGTTGGCTGTGGGCCAAAACCCAACAACCGCGCGAGTCCCTCGTGTTCCTGTTCAAAGCAACAACCTGCATGTCCGCTCAAAATAGATCAAGCAGGTCGACCCAGAGTCCATTTCAGAAAAAACTGACCCATAGACCCATAGACCCATGGAAGAAACACCTCTCTCCACCTCTCTCGTCCGGTCCATCCTGCGGCCTGCAAAATCCGCTCCGGCGTGCCTGGACATCAACCATCTGCTACCCGAAACAGACACCGCCGGTGGATGCTTCTTGGCCCAGCCAGAGACAGGTCTTAGGGTTCTCCAGCGACCTAAACAAAGGGACCTAAGTGCTGAGAGCGCCGTTTCGGCAGCTTTTCCCAGAGCTGTTGTCTAGAGCCTTCACCTTTCTTTGTGGCTGTTGGCTTTAAAGCTTCCGGATGTTTGAAACTACCCAACTGTTGCCTCTTCCTGTCCGAGGATGGGACACAGGACAACTCTTAGGCTGATAGGGGAGAATCTCTTCGTCGCTGATGCTGGATCTGGATGTCCAACAAACTCCGCTTCACAGTCTCCAGAACGAAAAGGTTCCCTAAACATTCTCTACGCGCTTGACACACACACACACACTCAGTTCTTATGCTTCCAATCAATGATGTGAACTTGGATTTGACTCTGCCTAGGCGCGTGCTGTGCAAAATTGAGTGACTGAATGGCGAAGCCAAGTGTCAAAGCAAACTTTGTAAGCCCATTCCTCCATTTAGCTTCTTCGACCAATACACAAACACCATCAAACACCCCAATGCTGCACTGGTCAAACAGAGAATTGATGAGCACCTCTGGTCTGCCAAATGCATCGGTTTCTGGTCCACCGTCGAACTTCCTTTCTTCCAATTTTATCATTTACACATCAATTGGAGCCTGAAAAGCGCTCCTTTGCATGAGCAAATTTACGCTCCAAAGGCAGTTCTGTTTGAACGAGCTATATAAGTTAAGTCTAAGTTCAGCATCTTTTGATGCTTTTTCTAAGTTCACCCCCAAGCATTCTTGCCTGCATGAACGATGAGCTGGTTCAACTGCACGTTCACCTGGGAGGCATTCTGGCGCTATTCGAAAAGTCCCCGGTGGGGGAGGGCACTCTAACTGCATCCGTCTCGGGCACCGGTTCTTCGTTGTGTCAATTCCCGGAGCCAGGGCACATGGCAGCCGTACATGGCCATGTTTGGAACATGTTAGGAGTATTCCAACTTGTGCACATGTTGAAGACCCTTCACCGTAGGGGAAGAAGATATGGCCAGCTAGCTGACGGCATCTTTGCTAAGAACAACTGCTGGGAGTCATGTGCGTCATATAGGCATATCATCTTGCCTCGCATGAGCCTTCCCTGAACATCGCCTTTCCATGCCTATCCGAAGATACTTCAAGAGCACCTTGACAAAAGTACGTATTGGACGATGCCTGACTGCACCATTGTAGATTTGGAGTAGTCCCCACCGAGGTTTGACCCAACACCAAAGCAAACACCTCGGGGAAACGAATGCTTCGCAACCCTGCAAGTAGGAGTCTGGAAGGGGAAGATACAACTTCTGCAGAAAACCTCTTCTTGGCGGCATTGATATAAGCCCAGGTCTGGGTCCGTGGGCCGGAAAAATCCAAGTTCGCTCTTTTGGGGTGACCAGGCCCTATCCCTGTCTTTCAGGCTCCATCTTCCGAACGAAGATCGCGAACCAGGGGCCAAGATGGCGCAACTCGGGGTTCCCAGCGCGGTCTGGCTGAGGCGCGGCACCTAAACAACAACATCGACGGGTTGGCACTTGCGATAGCAAGCAGTAACAATCAGACTGGCAAAGGATGAGAACCCGGTGGAACTAACTACAAGTACGTCATGCTACACTAGGATTGATCTGCCTTTTCTCCTACAAAGGTCCCTTTGAAGTCTCCTGATTTGGAGACATATCCATAGACAACCATTCCGGTACAAGCATCTGTTGAAAATGGTTGACAACAAGACCTGGACGTCTACAGTCTACAGTTACGCAGTCACGCAGTGGCAGTGTACAGGTTCTCGTTCATCTCTCCACTCTGCCCTGGTGTGGCCACGAAGATCCCCGACGTCCCCAGCGATATCGTCATCCAAGTCGTGTCTCCCAGGATTCTTTTGTAAAAGCCAGGTCTGGTCGGTCTGGTCTATAGTTTCTTTTTATTCAACTGAAACTGAAAAATCCCTACAAGATTGCAGAATCACAGGTCAACTTCATATTGTTTTTTTGTCTTATTCCCGAAAAGTACTAACAAGCATCCCCTCCTTTGCTCATCTCCGAAACCCCTCTTAGCCATCTCCTCTCTTAACAAGCTCTTTCTCCAGCTAAAACCAGGACATCCGATCAAGCACTCCGATCAATCAAACACCTGACCAGTTTCTTATGCTTTTTTCTACAGTGGTTTCAGAGTAGATGGCACTGGCACCCCTATATGTCTTTTAGATGGGGGTCCATATAAACCACCTTTTGGGGATTGTGCCATCTACTCTGAAACCACTATACTCCAGGATGACTCTTCCAAAGGACACCGATCGCTGCCCTGGCCTGCACCGTCCCCCTCCTTCCGCCGCCGAAGCTTGCTCTCGCGGTCGGTGTACCTGGGAAAGGGCAAGGAAAGGAATCTAGCAGCTTCAGCCGGGTTTGATGGAACATGTCTTGGGTATATCATATCTAATTACCAGTACCAGTGGATGATGATGGTTAGGTTGAATGCCTATGAATGCTTTCCCCAAACAGATTATTTCACCCTTACTGGGTGACTGGGACACACCCTAAAAATCGCTCCAAATCGAGCACTCTGCAGGCCCAATGATCCCTCCGCTGGGTTGAGCGAGTTTTGGGATTGTTCCGGAACACAGCCGTCGTTCTCACTGGCTCGTGCTAAAGATGCACAAGAAAACAGAACCAACGGTGTGTATATTATATATACACACATACATATGTTTTCTAATTGTGCAACCTTGTGCGGTTTCAGCACCCAAACCTCTTGTGGTTTGGAACCATCCTGTACGATGAAGATCAGCGAGCCTTTGACCAGTTGAGATCTCCCAAACACATCCATGACCAGTTTGTCCATGAACATCACCTGCCCATGACCCACAAGCAGTGGCCACATGAACACCCCTTAACTTCTATAAGCGCTAGTAGTGGACACTCCTTAGGCGGCCTGGTACCCACCTCTTCCATTCAAATTCTATCTCAAAACCCGCCCCAAAGCGTCCATTCGCCACAGAGACCGCTCTCCAAGGCTCACTTGGATAAGAAATGGCCACCCCCTCCAAAGACCAAAGACGCTGGAGCCTCTGCGACTCTCTCACCAGTGCCCGTCGAGCATCGGATGAACGTGTCGGTCGGCTTCGCCACTCCCGGAGGAACGGGTCGGTCGATTCTTAGGAGCAAAGAAGCTTCGTTCGGGGCTCCTGGCCGTACTACTAGGAGCAAAGAAGCTACTATAGTAACAAGAAGCATTTTCGCCAGCTGAAAAGACGGGATGTCGGGATCGATCGGAATCGATTATCCCAGGCACATGTTTCTATGAAGAAGCGCACCAAGGAGAATGGTTCCAACAGAAGGGTGAGTCAGATGCATTATTGTTCCTAGTACGTAGCTTTATTGTTACTACTAGTAAGGCACTTGTTCCTAGTAGCGTGGCACTTGTTTCTACTAGCGAACCTTGTTACTAGCAATCCCCAAACACACACCTTTTTGGATGTCAAGAATCGGTTTTCCCCGATACTCTAACAACACATTGTTTCCGCTTCCAGGCAAGCGTCGGTGAGCATCCCAAAATAGATAGAACTGTCATAAATATATAGATCAGGATGTTTGTCTTGAAAATAGACTTGGGTAGTACTAGCAATCATCATTGAGTCATTTCACTTTCCTGGCGAAATAGCAATCCAATCATGAAACATTCTTGAAACAGGGTTACGATTCGCATCCTCCTGCTTTCCTGAACAAGTGGATCTGGGCATCTTGGCTTACAGTACATAAATGGATCGGACAAGCTGACGCTTGTTTTCGGCTCCTCAGAAAGACACACAACTGACTCTGACGTAACTCTTGATTCATCAACCCCCCCGCATTTGGGTTGTAAAGCCTCTTCATCTCGGTGGTTCTATTGTCACTAGTTCGTCACCAAAGGACATCGTCACGGGGCGACTCCGTCGCTGCTGGCTCGCTGCGCTCCGAAAGCGTGCGGAACAAGCGCACCAGGAGACAAACATCACCAGGAGCATTTCCAAGCCACTCCGTCTTTAACATCAGAGACCAAACACTTTCTATACTTTTCCCAACGACACACGCAGCTAAATATGCCTTGTGGTCAAAACATTGACTCACTGGTGCCAGTTAGGCACTATAAGCCTTTTCAACATGACAGGACGTTTTTTTGGGTCTATTTTCCTTTCAGCAGGGGCCTGTCATGCGTTCTTTTTCGGCGGACACCACGCGCCTGCTGCGAAAACCCCACCCCCTCGTTCCCTTCAGTCCTCCGCAGGATCATCGGTCCTCGACACGCCATCGCTTTCCGGAGGCTCGAGTTTTTCGGGAACCTGCCCACAGAACCAGTGACAAGGACCAGTGACAAGTCACCTGTCCCCCCTACATGGCCGGGGTATGCCGGGGTATGCCGGCCTTCTAAGCTTGAAATCCAGGGGATACAGGATCCACTCAAAAAGCCAGGACCTTGATGTGGAACAAGGAGAAACTTGAGCGCAGTCGAAAAAAGAAGGCGGTGAACACATGGGAAGTCCAAACAATTGATGCGCGAGGGAATCATTGTTGAGCACGGTGTTTTCCCTACCCAAACAAAGTAAAATGGCGCCCAACATCCATGCAGAACAACTTCTTTACTCTAAAACCACAGCCGACCAGCGCAGTTGGGGACCCACAGCGCGCCTCTCAAAGAGCTTGGCACCAGGCTTGAACCTCGATCCGAAGAAAACCACCAGGGACCAGTGCATTCGGAGACCGCTGGAGCGATGGCGGGGTTTGGACGGGGAGGTGAGGCGTGACACCGAGAGCGTCTCCCAACATCGCCTCGTGCAGTTCCATAACAGAGGACAAACCAGCAGTGGTTGGTAAGAGTCTTCATACACCCAAGGTTCAAAGGTCCAAAGGTCCCATATAACAAGTCCTTCAACTATACTAGGTTACTTTCCATATGAAGACTTGTTATACTATGGGTGTTGAATATGAATTCAACTATATAGGTCCAAGACAACACCCATATACAACATGATTCCAGGTCGACCCACCAGGGGATGGTGAATGGACACCCTCACCCTCCCTTAACCAGTGCTATTGATGGACCCCCCTTGAACAACCAATTCCAAAGCAACATAGAAACTCCTTTGGATCCTCCGGAGAACCTCCGGACAAAGGGCATTACTACCGGAAGCAAGGGCATTACTACTAGTAGCAAGAATGCTACTATAGTAAGTAGCTCCTGGCATCACTACTACTAGGAGCAAGAAGCTATATATTCGTAACAAAGGGCATCGCTACAAGTAGCAATTGCATTACATCTGAGTTTCCAGACTCGGCAGCTTCAGGATTTAAGGTGCTTACAACGGCCTGCGTCCGTCGTCAGCCGACGCGTCGCTCGGCGGGGAGGGAAGAAGGCGGAAGGGCAACGCGCCGTTGATGAAAGCTAAGCCACACGAGATGTACAGGTAGAACCGGGTGCATGGCGGGGGCATCTGAACATATATCCTCTACCTCAGGTCCTGCAGTCGTGCAGGATTTCTTCCTTGCCAGTGGACGGATGCTCATTTCTTCCTTTGAATGTCTTGAATACCGGGATGCATGGCGGTCTTACACATCCCAAGTAGAGTGAGAAGCCCACAGTGGTTCAAGAGGGTGACTGCGGAATTCGAGGTTTGTTTGGTGCCCAAGGGCGCGGTAAAAAGGAGGGCACTACGTAGCAAGTTACTATATTAGCTTCGAAGAGGATGTACGTAGGCAGATTCCCTTTTTTGTGGACTTTCTTAGATGAGTACTTGGGTCAGGCACCAGAATTGGGATTCCCATGGCGCCAGAATATACCGAGTGAAACTTACTTCAAACCTCTTGCTTGGCTCCACCAAATGGTCAGCAAAGAGGACAGGGTAAAATGCGCTGCCTTTGAAGAAGCTTGAGTGCAGTCCGAAGATCAAGAACGAAAGGCAACAACTGGATCACACGCTGCACTAGCCGCTAGCCGCTAGCCTCCCAAGAAGTTCGTTCTGCCGACAAAAAGACGCTCAACCTGAACAGAGTCCTAGAAATCGGCCAAAGAATACTCCCTCCTCCGCTCCCTGCCAGCCCCTGCATCCCAACACAAATGGTTCTCCCACCTCCTTGGCATTTTCTTCCGTGCCTGGCGTGCCACTGGCGTGCCACTGAGCAAGACAGCCGAAGAAAAAAAACATCCCAAGTATCAATGCCACCTGGCTCTGATTATTTTCTATTTGAAGCCTATTGAATCAACTCTTCCTGCTGCATCTGAATGTCTGATTTCGTAGCATGTTCCTCTGATTTAGTAGATTTATTCAAGAACATTCTCAACGCACCCCAATGCTCCATGAGATCGGATTCTTTTTTTGGGGGCGGGCCCATTCTGGGCCCATTCTGGTTTGGCTGGTTACGGATAGCGATGGAACCTGCGTCCCTGGAAGACGAATCTCCCTCTTGGCTAGGAGGTCTCATTGACCACTAAGAAGTCCGGAAAGGGTCCTCAGCCACCCCTGGTTGTTGAGAGCGTGGAAAGGAACACATCTTGCAATGGCAAGATCTCAGATAGCCAGGCCCCAAAAAAACAGTTGATCTCGCAAGTCTGCACTTCCCTGCTACATACCTTAATTTTGTCGTGGCACATGGTTCTTCTTGTAATTCCAATGGATGTGGGTCACCACGGTGAATCTACCAGCAGTGACTACCACTACTACCACTGGCAGTGAATTTTGGGGTCTTTGACAGGCTTTGGCATCGACCCACCCGCCATGTGACCCGCCCGCTTGGGGGTCCGTTTCGCTTAGCAAACCGACACGCCTCCTTCAGCCATCGAGGAGGGCGTTGTCTGGAGAACTCAAGACCTAAGGGCTTTGTGGGCTGGTGGCCCCTACTTGACTCTCAACAAAAATCCGGATTGAACCACCGGACTTCACCGGGGTTTAGATGGATGATGTATTCAATCACCCGTGCCTGAAGCAGTTTTCGATGTTTTGTCAGGGCATGAATGGACATCCTACATGGAAAGGACTTTTATCACAAATCCCAGTTGGGTGGGTTTCTTGGACTTCGTGCTCCACAGTTGGACTCAGGCGGACACTTTAGAAAAGTTAGATATCTTTACACCGATTGGTTTAAGGGAACATCCACAGGAAAACCATGGTTGTAAACCTCCCACAACTATGCGAAGACATTCTGGCATTGGTTTAGACAACCTCGCAGAATTGATGTCGACATTGGTTTCCTGTGGAAATTCACCAATTCCTGTAGATTGCGCCTCAACACGGCAAACGGCGTCTCGGGAGACGGGAGCCATGAAAAAGACTATTCTTTTATCATCTGGTACACACGGTAGAAGAGTGACCCATGAGATGTATTGGATTTTCCCATATTTCCTTTTTGAACACGTGGTACAACTATGGGTGAGATATGAGCATAGCTCAACAAATAAATGTCCAGGGCACACAGGTTACTTGTCGCGTTAGTGGTGATTTTAAAAAAATGCTTGCAAATTTTGTTGCACTCATGTTTTGATCAGTTGTATCGTCTTTCATCCACACATGTGTATTATATATACTGTACACATAAATGATAACACATCCAGTATATATATATATATGGTATCCCCCGAGTACCTACCTCTTCTCTCTCTCTCTCTTTATGTATATATATATAATATAGTAGTAATAATGACAATAATAACCCTATCGCACTCAGGGCGAGGCTGCGTTGCATACCGACTGCACCGCCACATGGGGGTGCACTCAACGTCTGTATACAACGGCGCGAAGTGGGTTTGGTGCTTTTTTGTGGGTTTGGATGGGCTCATGTTGTCACGGTTCTGTCATGGGCTATTGACGGCTATTGAGCCAACTTCATGTCACCTGAAAAGCTGTTGTCATGTCACCACGGCCGGGTGCGACGACGAGTGTTTCACACTCCGAAAGCCAGAGTCAGACACTCTTGCTGGTCTAGCGCAGAGTGTCACTTTGCACTGTGATGGTAAATGAAAATCCAGGTCTAATTACACTCTTAGCCAGGACCTTTGAGATGATACCTACGGGACCAGGACTGGTCCATCAGCTGCACACACCTGGAGTTGCTACCTAGAGTGCTCATAACCTTCCGCTCTAACAATTTCCTGGCCCAGTGCCAGAATTCACTCCCTTTCAACTGTGAATCTGGAATGTAGATATCCCCAGCTCCTGAACGCTCTCCCAACCTAAGAATAGAAGGATCAGCATCTGACAACCCTTCCACTCAAATAGAACCTGAAGGTTCCCCCTGCGAAAGGTTGCTCGGTTCTTAGTTCTTTTTTGGTAGACATACACGCCGCTGGGCCTTGGAAGCTATGCACCGGTGGGCCTTGGGGTATTCCAAGGTGCACGGTTTCGGGCATTCCAAAGTGGTGGTGTTGGTCTGTTTACATCCACCCAGTGATTGGAACATGGAAACCCGCATCCCTCCATCAACAATCAATGTTGGACGTTGGAACTCTCAAAATATGGGATTTGCTTTCATGTAGAACTCCGGAGGTTTGGAGGGCCAGAATAAATTTTGTATGTCTCAAAAACATAGCAATCCAAACCCACGAGGACACAGGAGTACCATCTGAAGTGCCCTGGATCTTTCTCTTTGGAATGCATCATTCTCAACACCCTCCGCTCTTTTGTCAACTCCACGTGCCAGCCACTTTCCATCAGCCTGGCAGTTGGAGCGTCCCAAACACTCACCTGTGTTACTGTGGTTACGCTCGACGGTGGCGCAGATGAACAGCATCTGCTCCATGTCCCCAAATCTGGTCATTTTGAATCACTTCGATTTTGAATCTGGTCATTTTGTCTCCAGGATGGTCTGAAACCTCCAAGTAAGGGTCTCATCTGGTCTCTGCATCCAAACGTGGCTCGTTTGAAGCAGGGCACGACGGAAGATCGTTCACCTGGAAAACGGAGACACCTCTTTGCTGACGAGAAGTGGTTTATGGTCATCGCCATGTGGATGTTATCTGAGTTGGTATTCAGGTATTTATGGAAGCAGCATATCGAAACAAGTGTTCACATATGTTCCAATGGTTTGGTTATGCTTTGTTGAAACGAAATGAAATGGCCGTGGTCTGGCAACGTTCTTTCCACATTTGCCACACGTCCACGGCATTAACCGATGCTTCGTTCGCTAGCTTCTACGATGGTTAGAGCTTACCAGGAACGCTAACGACTACGTCGCTTTCTGCATCACCAAGGAAAGGGGGTGGGCGAGGGTGGAAGGAATGCATGGCCACCAAGTCCAGCCCCCTCCAAGAAGCTACTAGGGGCTCCTGGCATGGCCACTAGGAGCAAGGACGCTCATAGGGGCTCCTGGCCTTACTACTAGGAGCAAGAATGCTACTAGGAATCAGAAGCTACCAAACCGGGCCAACGAAGTGTCACTTTCTGGCCATACAGCCTTCACCCACCCGGCCCGAAGGCATGTTCCGTGAACCCACTCACGCAGCCCCGACTTGGGAAGCTTCGAAGGAAGAACTGATGGCAACCCCGAAACAATACGAACTTCATCGAACTTCCCTACTACCCATGATTTCGTTACTTTAGGGATTGGTCGGATTCATCCCCAAAAAGAACACTTCCGTAAATCTTTCACTATCTATAAAACACCAGAGGCATGCCAGCAGTAGTGGTTGGTTTTGGCTTTATCATCTCGTAAATTCATGTAATTCCACATTGTTGGTTGTCTGGTGCTCTTGTAATTTGAGACACTTCGATCAGTTCTCAAGACCTTTGTCTCTTCGTCATGACTCATGGCCATATCAAGAGATCCATTCCCAAATCCCATCAGGCTTTCTCCCTTCGGACCTATATATTTCTGACAACTTCATAGAACTCCCACATCCGCGACCCACCTGGGTTCGACCATGGAGAAGCAAAGGCCCAAGCGCTCATAAGCACGTTGAGAGGCCTCGATGCGACCGGGACATCCTTGTCCCAGGTCATCGATGCGGTCGGGATGGATCGGATGGATCCTGGGAGAGCAAGTTAAGGAGCTAAATGATTGGGGCATGCAGGTCTAAATTGTCAGGTCTCAATTTCATCGACATTCCAATCAAATCCCGACAGGTAGATGTAACCATGGGGACTAAAAATGTCGCAATCCAAAGACCAACACACACCCAAAAGGCAGCAACAAAAAGGCTAAACGTTCAGAAGTGCATCCTCTGGCAAAACACATGATGTTCTGAACATCTGATGGGTCAAATTTGTGCATCTTTTGCTACGGACGCCACTCAGAGATCGAAGCAACAACTATGCCATAGATGCGGGAGGGACCTCCCAACGAGGTTGCGAGACACTCTCCCTCCACTATTCCTTCATGATGGTTGAATACGATCACAAACACAGGACGCCACCTACCTTCAAGCATCGCTACGAACGGGGCTCCTGGCCTTACTAGGAGCAAGAAGCCATTAGAAAACATAAATAGAATTATATAAGTTCAATTCGAATCAACACTTGGGCTTTTGAGCCGTTTTCGCTTCTGCGGAGCTTTTGGCACCTCCGTTTCACCGCGCCCTGTTGTGGGGCCCACCACCTCGCGTCAGCCGAAAAGGCCCGAAGTTGGGGACGGTGGTTGGGTTTCCGACATGGAAACAAGTGAGCTGGCATGGACCTGAACATGTCCCGACGATATTCCTCTTACAACCCAATAGTTTTCAGTTTGCAGCCTGGCACCTGGAAAGGCTCTACCTTGGAAAGGGGTAGGTGTTAGGTATGTCAAACGTCAACCTACCAGGAGGGGGTGCACAGGAAAGTGTCGACCCACAGCCATATGGGTGTGCATGTCCTCCCCAATGGTCTTCTACTCTTCTTTGAACTGGAAGGTCTGGCTGATCGTCTCCCTATCCTACACCAAGCAAACTTGGAAGGGAGATGGGATAGTGTTTTTCTGGTGACTTTGGGTGAGAATTGAACATAGAGTAGTTCCAATGATTTGTCAGGACTTCATCTCAGGACATCCATGACGGCTGGGGTAAGGAACTCGCCTTGCGTTTGGCTTCTCTGCAGGCTTTGACCCGTTCCATGGAAGAAGCAAAAGAAAGGAGCACGAAACAGCATCATTCTGATTATTGGAACACGAGAAATGCTGTTTCATAAAGGTTAGATGATGTTACCGTTACAGTTTCCCATTCCCCCATTTCGTTTACCTCTCCAACAAACTTTTCAAAGAATCACAGCCCAACGTCTCAATTGGGCCACCAAACCACATCCAAGCACTTCACCTCCTTTCGACCAAGCACCTCCAAAAACCACTCAAACAAACAACAAACAAGCATTCAAACAGCCGAACTCCACCCACGGCACACACACACACACATCGACCGGCGCATGTTGACCGGTGGTCCGACCGGTGGAATGCCCTTTGTTACGTTCGTAGCTTCTTGCTCCGTTCGTAGCGATGCCAGGAGCCTCGAACGTAGTAGCGTCCGATCGCTCCCGCTCGGTTTCGATTGGCCTTTTGCTCCGTAGCGACCGCGTCCGACGGAGTGGGCTCCACTCGGTTTCGCCGCCCTGGGTGGTCCCGCGAGGCGATCCCGGTAGCGCCAGGAGGAGCTCCGTCGCTTCGCCTCATCGGCCGCGAACCTGCGGTTTGAGGCCATCGCTTTTGCTTGGTGCGACGACCGGGGAGCCGGGGGAGCGAAGAAAGCATTTTTTGGGGGCTTTCAAAACTTACAAAGGATGTTGAGAATCTGAGACTGTTTGAGACATGTATATATATATATATCATTATATATCATGTATCTAAAAGCTTCTGCTGATTGAGTGATTCTTGACTCAACATCAGTATTGTATGAGAATCCAGTATAGTATTAAAAAAGGAACATCTGAATCTGGAAATCTCTGAACAATCCCACATCAGGCAGCAGCATTTGCCCATCCGGGACTCCCAGGCCCACTGGTTTCTCATCACATTTGTGCCTGCCTGAGCTGCGCAACTTCTTCAGGCACAGGTGCCAAAGGCCTGGGACAAAAACATAACGAGTGGGGAATGTCATGTTGAAGGGGAGATAGAACAATCTTGCCGAGAACGTGTTTGTCTATGTCGGCTAGCTCGGGAAGGTGGTAGGGACCAAATTACACAAACATGTGTAATTTGAGCAAGACTCCTTATTTTCACCCCATTAGGATACAACACATCCCCCTGTCCCCAAGGTACTGAGGGCAAACTTTAAATGTGATAAGGTTCGACAATTCCGTTGATTGTTATCGAGTAAATTATGATGCACCGTATGCAGCATACGCATGTCATCTGAGTTTTTTCCAAGCTGTATTCACAACTTTAGTTATACCGTCCACTATCCAACAAATCTGATTTGGGAGTTCGTTGGAATCACGGGATTCTACGCTTTACGATCTTTGGAGACTTTTGATTCATCTAAAACAATGCAGAAACCTCATCCCAGCACCTGCTTTCAAAACAACTGATGCTTGCGCCCGCCTATTGGTGAGGCCAAAGGCGATCATCATCCAGTCATCCTGCCATTGCGTCTGTTGGCCGATACGAACCGCGCCAGTCAACACCTCGGAGATCCGGAAGAGGACCACGGGGAGACCGATCGTTTCACTGCCTCCCAGTGTGATCGGTCTACACCAAACCCAATGGTTAAATCAAAAAGCAACGACCAAGCTCTGTGGAAGGCGAAGGTCTACAACTCCAACTGGGCTCCAAAAAACCACGTACGTACAATGCCGTGAAACGAGGGTCATCGTCTATCTCTTATTATATCTTATTATTGTGGGAGCAATCTATAAATATAAAATGAAAGAGCTATAATATTAAAGATTGCTCCCCATATATTTCTTTATTATTTGTGATCGCCGGTCCACTTCAAAGAGCAAAAGGAAAGTGAAATTTATGGCGATCACTTTTATAATAATCTCTGGCAGCTACCCTGTAAAAATCCCCTCTTTGACAGGGGCCTAAGCTCTTATGAAATGGAAAAATTTTTAATTCTCTTATATTTTTCCATTGAATAACATCTATTCTTATATTATGAGAATTTCTTTTATTTAAAAATAGATGGCATGGTCTTGCAATTATAAATGATCTCTTAAGAAAATTGCAAGACCATATATTAAAATATTGTATTATTCATGCCATTGGAAACCAGCCATGTTCTCATCACCAGAAAAACCTTGCTTTGCAGGACTCCGAAAAGAAGCCCTGTCGCGACTCCCACCGAGGCCGAAAAAGGCCTCTGTGACCACTGCGAAGGTTTCCTGGCGCCATCGTTGCCGGCTCTTGTTTGCAAAAAAGAGACATACCATGGAACTCACAAAGGGGACCGAGCGGTTGGCAAGAATTCCGTTGATATTTTGTGCTGACAATCTGCTTAATAAATGAGACGTGACATCGAGGAGGGCTGTTCTTGGGTCTCCAGAAAGGCCGCCAACGGGTCTCCAGAAAGTCCTCTATATACATACAGAAAGGCCATTAGAAAGAGAATGAATTCCTATGGGTCTCCAGAAAGGTGGGAACAGACTGCAGGACTGACGACGCGAAAGCTACCATGCGCTTTAACGTGTTTTAACGGACTCCAGTGGCAAATCAACAAAACAAATGGACACAACACACACACAAAGGCACACAACATGCAACCAGTAGACTCTTAAACAGAAGCCTATAGAATCCTTGTAAAAGCATATTGCCCAAATGTCCAAGCTGGAATGGCTGTGCAGCTCCTATAATATATTGGACATTATTGGACAGTCACTTGACTTCAGTCCGAGATCATCCGTGCAAAAGTGAGCAAGCTACAGACTGAAAGCAATCCTTCTCGAACAAGAACATCACGCTTTCAGATGGTTTCAGGATGAAATTGGGTTCCAACCCTGAAAAGCATTCAGCTCCAAAACCACTTCCAACATCTTCTCATCCCACACCTGAAAGAGCCCAGCTTGTGGTGCCAAGCGCCACATGAGCTCCGGTGCCATTGGATCCAAAACGCCATCGACCACCTCAGAGCGTGGTCGAGTCGCTCACCCGTTTCTTCGAGTCCTGAACGGAGTGGATTCCCGGAGAAACACCGCTTGTGATTTGTCTCTTGCATTACATGTTTCATCATATTTTCAACTAGAACCCCAGGACTTTGGTTTTGCAACCAAGTACCCTCCTATAGCCTGGGACGGAACCAAAAGCATTGCATGCACCTTGAATTCAGTGGAAATTGCATCGAACACATGGCATGTCACTTGAACACTTGGATACTAGTACCAAACATGTAAAATCTATCAGAATCAGGCAAATTCATCAGCAGCCGATGAAGTGGTCTGCACAAACGCTTATGCGACACATTGATGAGCTCCACGCATAACATCTTTCATTTGAAAACACACATCGTTGCTCAGTAGCTCTTCCTACATCTCCAAGTGCCAAACCAGGGTGCAACCCGGTGCCAATAAGCCGAGCCTGGGCCAACACATCCGCGCGGGGAACGAAAAGAAGTACGTACTCTGGGATACACCGCCAGAACGGCCAGAAAGGAAGCACAGTTTGGGGGCTCCGAGTTCATCACGGCAGGGACGGGAAGCGGAACAGGCAAATCTTGAGAAGCTGCAGGATGGGGACTCTGAAGACCAGTTTGTTGTGAAGGAAAGCAGTTTACGGGGTGCTTTGGTGTTTGGTTGTGTTCACATTCTTGGACACACATCCCAGAATGGGATGCTGACATCAACATTATCAAGGAAGGCCAAATTGAGCCCCGGAGGTTTGAAGTAGCTTAAGAACTGATCTAGCACTTCTAAAACGTCACCCACGCCCGATCAGGCCGAGATGGTTGAAACTTATACAGTATACCAAAACAACAAGAGGTTGCAGGTTCATCTTCAGTGGAACTAATACCCTCAACCCCCTTGTTGGACCAGTTCTGAAGAATTTGTGCCCGTCGGACCGCACCTATCTGCCTCGCATCCGAGGTTGGAGATGGGGTGACCCACGTCCTAGACTTGGGATCAAATGGGATGGCGTTTTTTTTGCCATGAGTGTTCATCCGATACAAACATCATTGATAGATGGTGTTCATCCGTTGTTACTGTGATTTACTGTGCATTCATCCGTTGCGCCTCCTCTCTCGCAGCTCCGCACGCCTCGCTCGCGGTACGTCGGTTCTGGGATATCCCGGCGCCCGAGCGAAGTCCTCGTGGTACTCGGAGCCTGGCGAGAGAGAACTCCCATGTAGACAGTGGATGAAGAAAGCCGTCTGAATGGAGACTGGGGACATCAGGTTGCTTCATCAACTGGATGATTATTCAAATATATACTTGAAGGGTTTAAGACATTTAAGACATCTCCTTCTGGGGACTCTTGTGCATCAACCATCTACGTACATGAGCAGAGGCACCCTCAAGATCAAAAAGATCAAGGACACGATCCAAGATTTATCTGACAGTACATTGGATAACCAGTGGAGCAAAAAGAAGAGTGCATCCAATGTCCAGGATGATTCAAGAGACTCTCTGAGCATTGACATATTGAATTGTATTGACATGTATTGACCTATGCAAGCAGGATGTCAGAGGTACAGTATGTACAGTATCTGAATCTAAGCATTACATTGCACTTTAAAAGTCCAGCTGATGGCTCATTCTCTGCGGCGCCCTGCCCGACTTGATCCCTTTTTTCCACCAGAAAGACTGAACAGGTTCTGCATCGCGGAAAGAAGTGACGCCACCTAAAAACTCATGAGACATGGCTGTCCATGTCTACCCAGACCCTGATTGACCAGATGAACAGAAGAAGAATCGGGCATTTGCAAACATCTTTCCTAGTAGCGTTCGGACGCTATGCTCGGTGGAGGCCATCGCAAGTAGGTTGGAGGCCATCGCCATCGCTACTACTAACAGGAAGCTAATAGTAAGATGTCAGCTGATCTCGTGGTCCCTGCAGCCTGCAGGTCTGCAGGCCCCAAACAATCAGTACCGAAAACCATGAGTCTTCCTCCATCTTCCGCAGCCATGAAACAAAACCACCTATCCCTGAAAGATAAGACGGAATACATCTCAGATAACAGTGTAGAAAACTGACTTTCTGATCTTCGCATCTATTGGGTGGTCACCTTAAAAAGGAACAACTTGTCATTTCAGACCTCTTTTTTCGCTTCAACAAATGCATTCCAGGTGGCCAAACCCACCTTGCGAGAGGAGCACAACACCCGCCACCAGTTCCACTCTCCCTTTACCATGGATTTGAAAGCAAGAACCTGCAGGACGCCTTTTTCGACACTTTGTCCTTGTCGGTCGGCCCCTAGGCCAAACCAAAGGCGATACTTTTGTGGAGGGAAAACCCTTGCTCCATTCATTGAGTCGGGAAGTGAGTGGTGAAAAGAAATGGCTCTTGAATGCTCTCAATATCATCTGGCATCGATTTGCTGAAGTGACATGGTACCTGATCTGCCAAAGGATTGTACAATTGGATTGAGTCTTTAAATCATTCAAAATGGCATATTCTTGCCAAAGGAAACTGGTCTCTGGCGCTGGTTTCCTGTTGATGAAAAGGACCTCCTCAACACAAACAAACTATACTGATACCATACCGATATTTTCAATATTTTTGCTGTTTCTGCACATGACATCATATGATTAAAAGTCAAGGATTTTCCGGATAAATCTGGACACATTAACATCCAGCATCACTTGTGACTTCTCTGGCAGGAGCTGCGGACTAGTGCTGCTCGACTTGACGAACTTCGCTTCAATTGCTAGGAAAACATGGGCTTGGAAGCATTGTCTGCATTTGAAACGGTCAAGGGCTTTTGCAGCACAGTACACAGGCTTCAATATTGGGATGGGGAAGACGTGCAAGTATGTGACTGCTCATGACTTTGGCCTGAGATAGTAAACACAGTCACAATGCCACATGCATACCTGTGCATCCAGCTAAGACTACCGGAAAGCACCTGGAAAGCTCTTGTCTCCGGCCGCAGGCCGCAGGCCGCAACTGTCAGGCAGCTCCTTGCCATGCACAAACGACGCCAGGACAGCACAAAATGCCGCTTCCATCATCCACGACCGCTGGGGTTCTCTTCCGGTGGCACGCATGAACAACCGACGATCGCATCTGCATTCTCCACCAACGGCCGACAATGTTCCGGTCCCAGAAATCCGTGAAATTGACTCTGTTCAATCCTGAAGTTCCTTGCTTTCCTTCTAACTCAGCATATTTTCGTATGAACCTTTGATGCTTCCCATACTACCAATTCCAGTTGATTCTTGAACTAAAACATCAACTTGATCTTCCACCCAGGAATTCTCCGTTCACTTGTGGAACCTCGGACCTTGGAGCCTTCCAAAAAGGCTCATAAACCTAAAACGCATACCAGGACCTTCCAAGAGGTGTCTATAAATTGCCTCTTAGAGGTCAAGAGGTGCCCAAAAACCACCTGTTGGAAGGTCCTGGTAGAGACCTCTTCTTGAGTTTTGGAAAAGGTTCAACCTCGATCTTGGTCACGTGGATGTTTTTCCGCCAGGCAAGAGCCCCAACTTCAGCCCGCCGTGCTTCCGCCCGGTGAAAGCCCTGCTTTTGCTCAGGAGAGGTTCTCTGTCTGTTGCCGAAGTGCTCGGGATTCCGCCAACAGCTGCTCGACACTCATCTCCCGCAGGAAGACAAGGCCCCGTGTGGCGCGGATCAAAGGTGAAGGGTGCTTGTGGAACCATTCGTATCCTCAGGTAATCTGGGTGGGTAATTATAGCGTCCAAAGCAGTGGACACTTTAAAATTGTATAATATAAATTCATATATATCATTTAACCCAAACACATTTCAAATACCCTTGATGACCGGCTACCATGAATGGTGCCGTCGAAAGGGGGGCTACCATGAATGGTCCCGTCGAAAGGGGATCCATTCGTATTCCATCATATTCCCTTCCCAACTTGTCCATCCATCCCGTCCATCAACTCGGCCAAGCGTCCCAAGCACGTCTCAATGATGTCGTACTGTTCCACCTGCACTCGTTGGCTCATCGCGCAAAAGGGGCCCTGAATCTCATAGGCGGGGAACTCCGCGTGGCGTTGCGACTCGAAGGAGTTCAGGAACCTCGATGCGACCATGGCAGGATGCGATAAAACAAACGGCAGGTCCCTCAGTCCGGGACAGACCAAGAAACAGTTTAGCTAGTATATACACACACACACACTTCCCTGAACTGTTGCTGTTTCGTGTTGGGTATTTCTATGTATTTCTGCTCATCCGGTCTCATCCAAACCTTTCAATCGAACTCATCCAAACCGCTAAGTCTCCCAGAATGATAGCATCTCTCTCTATCTCAGTTCTTCTCTCTACAGATCACACACAGAACAGGATCGAATGAGGTGCCGTGTGATCTGTAGGGTTTAATCGGACACTTCAAGTGACTATCTAGATTCTAGATCAAACACCTGACATTCCACTAGTGGATAAACAAACCACAGCGACAACCCAACTGCAGCACAAACACTGAAGACCTTCGTGGCTCCCTTAAAGTTGGATCACAAGGAGGGCATGCCCAAACACTTCTTTTACCGACTTGTCATTGGTTTACTGGGACACTCCCTAGGGTTCGTACATCGTATCAATCACCTTTCTTCGACTTGCTGGGCCAAGCCTCTTGTGACAATCCTCCTTGGCTTCACAGAAAAGCAACTTGTAACTTGTATCAACTACCCAATCACCCGACAACCAATGGAGTCATGAAGCACAACCTGCAACGTGACCACGTGACCACGACGGTGGACCACTGGGTCTCCGGCCCACACCCGCGCGAACCAAGCGGAACCCCGGGACTCGGACTCCGCCGCGGGACTCAGGCCTCTGGGATTGGTCCCAAACCGAAACGGCGCGATCCCGTCGACCGTGCCACGGACCACGCCACGGTCCGAAGCTCGGTCACCGGTTCGTCTTCGCTTCGGTTCCACCGAGAGGCATGTGGTTCAGCGTGGAGATCGTTTGCAGGGACACGGGGATGATCGTCGAGACCTCGTGGGGTTCGAAGCGGAACCACACCTCGGCCGGCCGGCTTTCACGCGGAGGACGAGTCGTTCGGCCGTGAAGCGTCGAGTCTACGGCGCATCTGAAGTCACGTTAGATCTGCCTGGACCTGAACTCAGGAAAGTTCGAAGACTCAGACTGAGGAAGCTACTAGTAACAAGTGCCGCGCTAGTAGTAACAAGTGCCACGCTAGTAGTAACAAGAGCTACTAGAAACAAGTGCCTTACTAGTAGCAACAATAAGACTTACTGACATTCAATTACACAGCTGCTTCCTTCGTCTTGGATTGGCTTGAGAGGCTGCGGTGATGATTTTCAGATCTACCTCGAGGGGCCGGCAGCAACATGCAGCACCTCCCTGATGCCGGCATCTTGAAGCCTCATGACCAGGCGAAGCCGCCTCCTCTTGAGTGGTTGGTGGTGAACTACTCCTCCCAGGGTCTCATGAGCAACACTTCAACAACGTTCAACGTTCAGCCAATGTTGCAAAGGAGACCCCCCAGTGGTGACTTTCCATCTCACAGGGTGCGGGATGTCCAGTATGGCTGTCCATGCTGCTCCAAGAAGCATTGCGATAGCCCCAAACAGTGATGTCGTCTCTCTTGGTTTCTTCTGCGTGCCTCCAGAGCCCAGAAGATTTCAGGTCAAGCGTGCACAGTGACAGTCATACGTTGAATTGTCTTCAGTGTCAAACCTGAATCTATTGGGAGCAGTTAAGAGAACTGCATAGAATCCAGCAGTTCCGTTCTGGTGCTTTGTTTCCTTCAATTACACAGCAATCTTGGAGGCTGTAGATCCTGTAGATGAACCCAGAGCCAAATCTTGCAGATCAGTTTGAATAGCTTTGAGTCTTTGATCCTCAGATTCTGAAGGTGTCAAGAGTGCATCACTTCTTCGACGCCTCCAAGTTCCATGGGACCCTAAAGGGGAACCATACCAAGTGCAAGGGGAACGAACCATACCAACACTGGCCACCCGGGAGGCCCCCCAAAGGCATCTCAAACCACTTGAACAATTAGTCAGAGGGTCCAATCATCGCCAAGTAAGGGTTGAAAGTAAAAATATCCGAAACCATCACCCGATCTTGATCTGTTTCAGTCAAACACTGATCTTGAAGCCTCCACTGTTTCCCCTGTCTCCACTCACATCCCAGATGTCACACTGCATGGCTCCCAGGTACTGTTGCAAAGCTGAGGTCACTGCTTGAAGCACCTCCGGTCGGGTCGACGGGCCACGAGGCGAGGCATGGGATGATGTGGCAAGTTTCATCTTCAGACTCGGATTTTTTAGAGTTTTTTTTTCCAGAATGGTTTGCAGATGTTCGTAGATATACTGTATTTAGAGCCACGGGATCAAAAGCCCGCCGGTGAAGGCAGTTTGCCCGCTTGAAGAGCTTGGTGTTGCTTTGTGTAAACCACTTCATCTAGTATAGTCTAGACTTATGGACCCTTATGGGATGTGATGGGCCTGGGGACTACTCTCCGGGATCTCCAGACACTCCCGGACAGGATGGTGCGAATGACGCCTCTGGATGGGCATGGTCCCTTTCAGAACGATCTCGACCGCATGGCTTTCAGACCTTCAGATCCCCCGAATCCGCGTTCAGACGCAGGGCGCCCCAGACGCAGGAGGCCATAGGATGCCCATAGGAACAGAGACGAGTTGCGACCGAGAACATCAAGACATCTATAGCCGCCTTCATCTCCTCAGCCCCCTTTGGGACCAGAACACGCACCCAGTCCAGCGCCGGTGAGCCTTGTAATGGGTGTCCGGCCCCGAGGCTTCCGGATCCAAGGCCACAGTGACCACCTGTTTCGACACCAACGCAACGATTCGGCCAACTCTTCAGTCCGGTCCAAAGGGGGGTTGGGACACCAAAGCGGTTGGAAGAGCCGATTTCCGTGGAAAAAACACCACCTGCAGGTGGCATGGTGGGCTTGTCAGGGTGGGCTTGGAAGTGGCTGTGATTTCGTGGCTTAACTGCATTTAAGGTGGCTTTAGAAGTATTCTTGCAGGTTTCTGGTGGGGCTAAAGACCATGGCCAGTACTCCTGAAGGATTCCAGAAAAACATCTTGGGAAGGTACGAGCACCGTGCCAAACAACTGTAAACAACATGGCACAACAGGTCCATCCGCTTTTTGGCAAAAAAGATCAAAAACGCACCGAGCACATCGGTCGGCTTGACCCTTGAGGGAAGGAAAGGGATGGCGAGGACGAAAAACGCGAGTTGACGCTTCCCAATCTTCCAGGGAACCGTTGGTCCTGGGAACCCTGGATGGAGGTTCTTCCCGAACAAGGTGCATCGCTACGAACGGGGCTCCTGGCCTTACTACTATAGTAACAAGAAGCTACTAGGGCTCCGGGCATCGCTACGAACGGAGCAAGGACGCTACTAGGGCTCCTGTCCTTATGAAGACGAAAGGGATGGCCAGGACGGACTTCACGGCGAGCGCACGGACGTGAAGACGCAGACCGTCGGGGACATCGGTCGAAGGCTCGAAGCCGCCCATTGAAGAGCTGAAACGCTGGGGAAATCCAGGTCTAGCACTCAGAATATCCATGTGAATACCCGGATACTCATCTAACACTCATCAACCCAAGAAATTTCTCATTTCCTCCAGACTTCCACACGCTGCATACCACTGTCTCACAGGCTCCGGCATCAACCAATCCTCTCGACTCTCCCGTTGTAGCGAAGCCACGTCCGGCTGCACGTTCTTCAGCAGCTTCAGCACCGGCAACACGTCGCGCTGCTGCGTGGGCTCAGGCGCAAATATATCGGCGGTGTAAAAGCCCAAGCGAAGGTGGGAGATGTTGGGGAGCTGCCAACCAATGTACCTCGGAAAAACAAGTCGAAGGTCTACATATAGATTTAGATATCTATATACATGTTCTTGAATGTTCTTGATTCGTGTTAATGGTGTGCTTCCAAGCAAAAATTGAAGAGTATGACAACAATAACAGATTGTGAAGTTGCAGTGGCGCTTTTCCATTGTTTTCAATATCCTCTTCCTGGCCAGCCTTCTTCAACCACGTTTACCAAACCACACGGCTGGACGGCCCGGCATGGTGGGCCGTACAGCAGATTGAAATGAGTCCTTTGTGTCTCTTGATTCTCTTGATGGCCACCCCCACGGGCGAACCGCCCTCGGCAACACAGAAAGAAAGAAAAGATGGCCACCCCATAGAATTCTGGTGAAAAGATGTGAAAAGCACTTGTACAAGTTGCCTGTGAATTCTGAAGCAAACGCAAGAGTCCCCAACGTCGGAGCAGTGAATGAAGCAGCAGAATGGAAGGAGTGACAAAGGCCGTGACCCGACTCTCAGCTGCAAGGCCGTGACCCTTCACTTTGAAACCACAAAAAGGTCAAAATGGAACCAATTCCTAGAGAGGTTGAACAGCCCTTTTTTCACCCATCCAAGAAAGAAACCACTACAGTCATTACAGGGCCCTAGTTCTTAACCTCTCTCAGCCTCTCTTGGTTTGCCAGTGAAGGATATGCTGAAAGTCGCTCCTTCACTCACTTGAGTACTTACATCCACACCGGAGTACCAGTAGACTGTAGACTTGAGGAGAACAGTGAACAAACGCTTTCGGCCACCTCGACTCTGCTCTATGGTTTCCTTCCTCATAGTATGTCAAGGTGTAGTTGAAACATCGCCTCTTCATGTGCATGCCATAAAAACCACACAAAAATCCCAAGTCCCTATAGTATTCCCCAGAGATTCCTCACATACCAGGACCCTCCGTTTGGGGTGTCTATTTATAGCCCTTTAGCCGTGATTCGGGGTGTCCATTAACCACCCCTTGAAGGTCCCGGTAGTTGCATTCAGAAAGTGGTGTCGTATGATGTCGTGACCGTGTCGTTGCTCGTGGGCCGGCGCGAGGGGAAGCCCACTCGCCAAGGTGCCCCCAGACACATTCGGCCTCGAATTCCCGGCAAGAGCCCTTCCTTGGTGCGAGGGGAGTGGTCATACAACGAACGAGCTGACTAAGACAAGAACACAGGCAGTCTTTGTAGACCCTTCAACATTCTGATTCGATATGCCAGGTTTGGTGCAAAAAGAGGCTTACGTAAAAGACACATTGGGCCTTCCCAGGGCGCCCGCCGCGACAAAATGTTCAGAGCAAGCATCAGAGTCTGCACATCTTTTTCATCCTTCTGTCCAGCATATTGCTTGTGAAAGTAGTCTTTCAGTCCTCCAGTTCAGGTTTTGACGCACAAATCCTATTCACAAATCCTCTTCTTGACAGGCCTCGAACTCTGAACCCCTCGACTCAGAATCGCTTCCCCAACGCTCTTCCGGACCACATCCCCCATGACCTGCCGATGACCGAAAAGCAAAAAAACACCACGTCACGTCAGTCACGTCAGACGGCCTTGAACTCGTTGCAGGAGACCTGAAGAGTCGCCCTTCTCCAAGGACTCTCCAAAGATCTGACACAAGTTGAAGACCTCACCGATGAGACGCGCAGCGAACTGCGACCGCGTAGCGATGAGACGCGTGAACGCGTCGCGAGCGTATCAGCGGTGACGGAGGCGTAACGCCGAAGGGAAGGTGCGGAAACCGGTACGCGTGTGATGCCAAGGATGAGACGTCTGGACAGCGAAGAGCGATCAATCCCTTGGTCGGTTTTGGTTGAAAAACCGAGGCACCGATGCAGCATCGATGCAGCCAAAAGGGAAAGAGAGAGAGAGAGAGAGAGCAAGTGGTAGAAGAAGACGTCGGAAGAAGAACGAGGACGACCGCGAAACCTTCACCTTCGAAGATCAAGTTCATCACTTTAAATATCATCATATCTATCCAGGTATACTTGCAGTTTGGAATGGAACATGGAGTCCAGTGTCACGTAAGTGCGTGTTTTTGGGGAGGCACCCCATGGTATCACACCGGTCGACCGCTTGGTCACACCGAAAAACCGCTGAGGCCTAGATTGCACCTGAAAACCTCCCGACATAGGCCAAGAATTCCTACAGTGGTTTCAAAGTGGCACCCCTACAATGGCCCTACATGTCCTTTGGATAAGGGTCCATATAAAGCACTGAGCACACCCCCCCACTTGAATGGAGGACCATCCTCCTCACCTGGACCACCCTCCTCACCTGGACCACCTGGAGCACCTTTCCAAACCCAAGACGCCAGCCGCCGCGCAGCGCCCTCGTCTCGCAGCTCGTCGTCAGCGGCGGCAATACCATCCTCGTGACGCAACCCTGGCTTCACAAAGAATCAAGCTGAAATGCACTAGCTGATCCTACCTGCCTTCTTCCCGCAGTCCCATGTTCGCTTCATCAGTGTTCACCCACTTAGTGGCAATTCCATCAAGCTGGACTCCTCCAGCCCAAGCACCCAATCCTGCACCTCATCGTCCTCAGTTCATCAGTTCAACCTTCCTGGTGGCTTTTGCCATGCCCCGCAGACCCATGCCTACAGACCCCCCCACAACCGACCCCCCCATGCCGGCACCCGCGGGATCCCGCGGGGGTCGGGACTTTCCCGAGCGTCCAAGAACTTCCACACGTCGCGGCGGCGGAAGTCCAGCGCCGCGTCGCCCAGCGCCGCGTCGGCGCTGAAGTACTTCTCGGCGCAAAGGCGTTGGAAGGTGGGCGACTGGGAAAAGCGTTCCACGCGCTGCAGCAGCATGAGCCTGAAAGGGGATATCTAATAATTAGGAGGTGTACACTCCCTGAAATAAATCATGGTTTCGTGGAGTGCATCAGCTGTTTTGAATCTTTGGAAAATGGTACAGTCACAGTAATCCTTTTGTGGCTATGCCATCCACTTCCATGTGTATCTTCAGGGAGTGTAGTGACAGAGAAAGAGACATCTACTGCAAAATTGACGGACTTTGACACTCGAGGATAAGTCTTCCTCGCCTTCGAGGATCAGTTGTGTATCAAGTTACAGTTAGCCGCTTCTTTTGGTCTTGCGAAGGAGCGTCACTCACTGAAAGCGAGCCTTTTCCCGTTTCTTAGACTCTTAGACTAAGTAGGAAAAACATGAAACAAACAGCATGTCACACGTGCTAAGCTGGTGGACACCCCTTTGGACCATCCAGGACACATGTGCTTGTTGGACACCGAGTTGAAACCGCTGGTGGCGCAAACGAAGTGGTGCTGATTCGAGGCCACTCGCGTGGAACGTAGAACCGCAGGCAAATATCCCAGCATGATGTCCTCAAAGCAAGTTTCACCCGTATAGTTGTGATGGCCTCCAACCTACTTGCGATATCTTGCGATGGCCTCCACCGAGCATAATAGCGCCCTAATATATGACGTCCTCGATTTTCTGCTCCAAAGCCGCGTTTGGTGAAGGTAACTGGCTGGTTGATAAGGGCATCCATCATCATATCTGAAGAAATGCACACAAATGCTCTGATCGCCTTTGCTTGATAAACCCTCTTCAAAGCATCAGTGAATTGCGCAGCTTGGAAAGTGGACACCTCAGGTGAGTTCGAAGCAGCCCTTCTCACTTCCAAGCCTGTGGGGGTCATGACTCTCCTGCGGAAGCCAAAGACTTGGATCCCTGAAATCTGATGTTGTCCGTAGTAGTAAATTAATTGGCTACTAGTAGAGATGCCCTTGTTCCTAGAAGCTTCTTGTTACTAGTAGTAGTGCCAGGAACACCAGTAGCGTCCTTGCTCCTATGGGTTTATGTAAAACCTTTAACAATTACTTGGGGTAGGCCGGTAGGGTCTTTGCTGCATCAGGAGTCATCATGGTGCGGCTCTGTGTGCAAGAACTGGCATTTCTCTCTCACCTGCACGAAACAGGGAAGTCTGTGCATGATGCACGGTTCATGTTGAAACCTCAAACCACTGGCTATTTTCCCCGTTTGGAGTCTTTCGGGCCAGTGCTCTCCCAGCGGAGGGGCGAAGTCATGTGGTCAAACGGTCGAAGTATGTCGAAGTCATCAGATTCACCGGATTTTACCCAAATTTTAAATGCTTAATCCAAAAACCAAGGCAATCCATATGCAACCAGTGTTTGTTATTTTGGCACTTCGTGCAAAGGATAGTGGTGAGAAGCGGAGACTCTACTGCAACCGACATGACAAACATGAGCAATTGTATAATTATATCATTAGGCAGAGGTCCTCACTTGCAACTTGCAATCCTGAAACACCTCTATGCAGGCGGATACCAGCTCTCGAGAGCATTGGGAGCTGCTCGGGGACCAGTGTGTGATGTACGAAGAGATGCGAGAGCAAGAAAGTCACATCATGAATTCCACAATGGTGGAGGTCATTGTACATGGTGTTTCTACTTTGGTTCGCTCCCACCAATACAAACAGAGTCAGCATGTTTGAAAGGATCTGATGTACCCATCGTCCACTCCTCTTTTCAATTTCAAAGCGTGGCCATGTGGGTTGCTGTGGAGCGTCTCAATGAGTCGGGTGGTTTGGGTCGATTCGCCATCACTGCCATGTTGGAGCACCTCTTGATTCGCACTTGGACCTCTTGAGAGAGGTTGGAGGCTCCCAGCCCACCGTCTTCAGAACTTGACCGTCAACACCTCCGGCCTGACAGCCTCGTTCAATCTTCCTTGGACACGGCGAGGGACGGCCACCCACCCTTCCCTCCACTGGAAGTCGTGAGAGGATTTTTGTCCGTTGCTGATGGGATGGGGGCAGCCGCAAGGCATAGGTGGAACAGAGTCTTTGAACAAGAAGTATGCAAACAATATGACTGGTTATATTGATAAATGAAGAAGTGCTTGGATTCCTCACATGCCACACTTTGGTCCCAATGCACTTGCTGAGAAACCACATGCTAGATTTCAACACCCAAGTTTGTCCAACCAACAACGAAACAATAACTAACCCATCATTAGTTCTGTTACAAGGGTTAAAAACAAGAAATCCACCCCTTCTTCTCCAAGACACAACACATACCCAGCTGGGCCTGGGGTCATCGCGGCTCAACAGCTATTTCACTTCCTCTGAGAGGGGTTCCGTATGGTTCACCTTCCGGCTTCTTTTCTTCGAAAAGAAGCGAGTGTGAAAGAAGTAAGTCTCAACTGACTCAACTGGCCACAGCAGCCCCAAAATAGTGAGAGGAACGGAATGTATCTTTGATGCCGAACACTGCAAAAAAAAGTGAGGTCATCTAATAGTGAGCAGCATGGTTCCACCCAGACTGGGTCTAAAGAACACATGCTCCTCTCACCGACCTGTACCGTGGGATCTGAACACTCCAGGCGTCTGGATCAAGGTCTTCCTCACTTGCTCCGCGCAGTCCTTCAGCGGCTTTCCCGCCTTGCGCAGCACCTCCGCCGCGAAGGGCGACGCACTGAGGTCTGTGGCGGTCAGGTCCAGCAGCCTTCGCGGTCGAAATGATGGTGAGGATTTGACTCCTCCTCCCACCTAGCCACAAAGGATTCGTTGATTTGCAGCGTATTGCGAAGTGGATTTATGTTATAATTCGATTTGTGTTTCTTCGACTCATCAATACTCATCATGCACCCAGCCACAAAGAAAACCGCCTCACCTCTTCCGCCGCTGGCAGCACAGGGACACCAAGGCTTTCTCCACCAGCTGGTCATCAATCGCCTGGGCAGTCATCTCAAGATTTTAGGACACACACTTCGCGAGGTTCTGAAGCAATCGGTTTTAAAGACCTGTGACATCTCTTGTGACCATTGGAGCTCGACATGGAGCTGTGACATACTTGTACCAAGCTTTGGGGGTGGGACACCGCCGAATTTTCCGAAGAAAAACACGGGGCCATGTCGATGACCCGAGGATGACTCGATGCACCGATGACAAACAACATAGCTTTGCTACTGCGTGATAACAGTCACTGGAGTCCGAGCAACACAAACTGTTCGGGGAATTGATCGTGTGAAAAGCACCGAGCAATCAGCATTCAAATTATTGGTTGAACATGACAATGTGTGGTGTGGTTACCTCATCTGTACCCTCATTACATTCCATCTAAGAATCTGTCGGAACCGCGAACCGGGTCGGGGTCCAGTCCTTGAGAGTCTCCAGGAGAGCCAGCTGTCGACGGCTCAAGAGCTTCGCAGCGCCAGAGGTCAAAAAGAAACACGCCTCGGGGCAGGTGCTGCCATCAGGGAACGCCCCGGATGCCTGCTTTTGGGCGGAGCGCTGGACCATAGTGCTCTTTTAGGGGTGGTGTTCATTTTTTAAAACAGATTTACATTGGTTTACTTCGATTTTTGTCCGGGCTTCTTGAAGCATTCTGCCCTTGTGTTGCAGTTCCTATCTTTTGGGGGTGGTTTTGTGGCGTATTCTCTCTCAATGCGAAGGCTCTTCTTTTTTCGTTCTTTTATACGTGGACGCGAGGGCGCGGTTTGGGCGGCTGTTGGGGTGGATGATGGATCTGGGATGATCTGGGGATGGATTTGAGCATGAAACGATCAGCAAAGCAGAGTGTGGACTTGTGGAACGAGTGCTGTCACTCTTACTGTACACAGATATAGAATTGCAACCGCGCCTGCTGAAGGAACACACATGAAAACAACTATGCTTACAAAAGGGCCGGAAGATGGCCTGGCTCAAAGAATCAAAGCAACATCCGGGAAACAGTTAGAGCTGTTAGCCCCTTGAGACCTAGTTAGCCAAGGGTCATGAATTGCGCAAGGATGTGTAGTTCAAAGTATTTAACTCAATCTCACATTGCCCTGGCACACCTAAAATTAGGAAACCGTCACCAAATCATGACTTTAGGAACTTAACATGAATGGACCGAATGGAGACCATGGTTTTGGATGGCTTTGGGTCTCCAGGCTTTGACCCAGATCCAGTCTGAGCAGCCCGAGGCAGCTTATGGAGAGCTGTCGCGGGGAAGTTGACGTGCGGATCTTCCTGGTGCAGTACGAATCAATGAACATCGCGTGACATCTCGGACATCGTCTGCCCTGAAAGTGCTCAAGCTTGTGAACCAGTTTTGTTTCCAAGGACCCATGTTCTCACTCTCTTGGTCGACCAACATCATCGCGAGCAACCAATTTGCGGCGAAAACACCCTCATTGTCACGAGGCCTCCAGGCCACGGCCTTCGGGATGAGGTGTTAGACCTCAACACCTCATCTGTTCGTCTCCTTTTCCGTACGAGGTGTGCCCCGCAAAGACACTTCGCCCGACTTGGGCGTGCGAGGACCGTGCGATGACCGTTTTCTCGGTCTGTGGGGGTCCTCGACAGCTTGCTTGACCACTTGCGCTTTAGCTTCACCCGCGGCGCAGATGAGCGCCACGCAGCGCGGGTTGAAGGTCACCGTGCCCAAGCCGATAGTGATGACCTTCCTGGCGAAGTATCTTGGAATCATCTGGTGATGAATTAAACACCTATATTATATTCTATCTGGGAACCTTCTTTGACTCCTGTTTTGATGAGAAACAAAGGGCAATACTTTGACCAAACAGGGCAACAGCTCAGCAAAGTCTAGACTACTCGACCTCACTTCATCACCATTCCAAATCTACATCCTATCCAGATGATCCCCTGCCTTCTTACGACCCAACCTGGCTGCATGTTTTGTACTTTGTCAACCTTCAGCTGCTGGATCCTCAAGTCTGAAGTGGGAAGAGTGAGGACTCTGTGGGTCTGTGTCATGACTCCTGGCTCCCGTGCTTTTCTGGCTCCCGTTCCAAACGAACTCTTCATCCCAGATCACCGTGCTTCAGACCGCCTACAAACACCTGATTCGCCTCGGTGTGCGCCCCCCTCTCCTTCACCCGCAACCGCACCGCCCCCTTCACCCACAGCCGTCCGCGGCGTTCGCGCCTCTTGCGCACCGCCTCGATGCCGCCCAGGTCGCCCGCTGCGGCCGCCTGAGAGGGGTAGTTGAGCTCGTCCAGCCGAGTGGTGGAGAAGTGATCGCAGCCTCGGTTTGGGTCGAGAAGTACGGCGTGTTATGGGTGGTTGTGTGGAGAGTAGTGGGTGGTAGTGAGGTGTGTGGGGTGGAAGTTGAATGGCGAGGCGGACAATTCGCTGGAATCGAATGGCATGGGAGTATGGTGGGTGTAAAGGAGCAAGGCCTATATATATATATTTAATATATACTCCCGGCTTGGGTCGATGGTGTCGCCGACATCCCTGCCTTGTGTAGGATGGATTTGGGGTATTCCGCCACAAGAATAGCCTCCTTCACGGATTCAATGGCAGAATTGGAAGGATAACCTCCATATTGCCGAGAAGTGAACATTTTTCTGCGCATTGACAAAGACCCAAGACTTATGAAACGACATGAAACCACTGGCCGGATGACATGATACACCAATTGTATAGATCCTGTTTCATCGTACCTTCGGCACACATCGGATTACGTTCATTGAGGAAGACCATCTACTGGAAACAAACCTCATCCTCACATCCTCCTTCCCCAGCTCAACCCATGAGACAACTAACATAGGCCCCCACCCTGGCATTGGGGCAAACACATCACCCCTAACTACTGATCTCCTCACGTTCCAATGTCTGAAACTTGGGGTGTTCTCACACCATGGTTCACCCATGCAACACCCATGCAATATTCATGCATCACCCATCCCGTGTCCGCCTTGGCAATTGAAGGCGACATGCCCATCTGGCCCAATGCCACCTCAAACGGCTGCATGGGCCGAGGGACATCGAAGGACATCGACGAGTCGAGTCATTCTCGTCGATGAGTCGAGTTCATCCAGTCTCTCCACAGTGGATTTGGGTGGACGTGGGAACTAATAGGGATCATAACGTCAACAACCCATGTATACGGTATACTGTATGTATCTGTATGTAGTATATATAAATATACTTATATATATATACACATTCTCGTGCGATGTTTGTCTTTTTGAGGTTTGTCGAACAAATCTCTCTTTCATCGTCCATTGATGGTTTAACTGTGTGGTCTACGTCCCCTGCAAAGATTGTTGGCAGACTTGGTAAACATGGCAGAATCTTCAAGCCCTTTGCAGCCTTTGCAGGTAGGAAAAAAGGTCACAGGCCAAATCACTGAATGACTTGAAGAGCCCAGTACCATCCAGTACCCCCACTACCCCAAGCTCCTTACATACCATCCGTATGCGTTCGCAAAGGCCCAAAAAAGAACAGGACGAAAGCCGAATGGAAGATCCAAGAGTCCCATGAAGAAGCCGATGCCGCCAAGTGCTCGGATCTTTCCTTCGTATTCGGCACACCATTGGTCCACCTGCCACCGTCCGGTCCGAACAGGGTCGACGGATCGGCGGATCCGACGGGGTGAATTGGGAGCCTGAACGTGGAAAAGAAGGGTCTTCAGCACACTAACCCAGGTTCTGGGTCAGCAACATTACAGCATCCCATGTGGCGCCATGGCTTAAAGCTGTCTTTGCCAAACAGGGGTTTCAGGAAGGCCCACTTTTTTTGGAGCTCCATCTATTATGTAAGATGCAAGCATATCCGCGTGTCCCAACGAGAACTGAGGATTTGGTACCAGCAAGTATCAGCAAGTGGTAAACATATGTTGGTTTTCACTGAATGAAACGTGTGTCCTTCCATTGCTTTCAGGTTTCAAGCTTAAGGATATGTTGGAGGAACCACACCCTTCTACCCATTTCTCATCATTTTTCACATCACCTTCTGTTCATCCAGACTCAACCCACCCGTCTTTCGCTGGGAACCCCCCCGGCCGCTTCTCGCATCGCCCGACCTGCCGAAGCACTCGTTGCTGCAACCGCTCCAGTCGACTGGTGGGCTCCCGGGTCCGCAGGGTGAGATCTACCCGGCCGTCGGACCAAATGTCCTCCATACCTGGACGATGGGTACGACATGGTACGACGGCGTCATCTTGCCGACGGGGCGGGACTCCGAAGTCTCAAAAATATGGGGGTCCGCCAGATGCAGGGTCCAGAGCTGCTGAGTGGTTGAGGTTGGGAGATTATGGGTGTATTGAAGGATGTGGCCTATCGAATCCACTTGGCAGCTCTTGTATGCCTGAGTCAATGAGATTCTGGACAAAGTCCTGTGGAAGGGACACATGTTGGAACAGTCAAACACTCTCAAATTGAACCTGGGTGATGCAACACATCAAGTCCACTTGGAATGGCACTCCTGATGAACAAGCCAACTTGCCTTCAACAATCTGTTTTCTAGCCATTAATAGATTTATACAACCCCCGCTCAGGTAAACAGACACCAGCGCTCAACTAAAATACCATCATAGGAAAAGCAAGCCAATCACCCAACCTACAAGATCTCATCAACTTCAACTCGTCCAAAAGTCACAAAAGGTCTCTCGGACGCACAACTTCAAAACAACTTACCATGACTTATGACCCATGGGATTTTGAGACCGGTCTCAAACAAATCACCGCGATGTTATTATTTTTGCCCGGTCTGCCACCAAGTCTGATCCTCTCCCCAGTCATCTCTGTGAGTGGCTCATCTGCAAATGATCTTGTGGCTCTCCAGTGGGCCCAAAGCTTTCCTTCACCCGGTCCAATCCAATCTTCGAGCCTCGGTCATAACTCGAGCTCATCTGCTCTCATGTCGACCCAGGAAACCACGATCGAAGGTTCGTGTAAATGCAAAGCCTTTCTTTTGGCAGGCAAAATGAAAAGCTTTGGTTCTTGGGAGTGGGAATTGGGACATATTTCCTCGTTTCTGCATGTCTAGGACATAGGTCTCTTCTTCGTCTGCAAAAATCAATCAAACATCCTGGGACCCGCCGGTCAAACTATTCACGAGATCAATGGTTCCAACTATGGATCAACAAAACAGGCCATGGAAACCCACAAAGAGTGCCCTTTCTTATCTCCTTTCATGAAAACAGTTGTATGACACCACTCAAAAAGCTCAACAAAGATGTTGGTCATCACGTGAATGCCAACTACATCCAACTATCCTCTTCGCCTCTGGAACATTTGTTTTGTACCCTGTACGGTTCCTTCTTCTTCTCCAACACACACACACACACGTCAACTCAATGCCGGCGAAGCAAATGCAAACCTCACCCATCGCAGCACCCCGCCACCAAACCCAGCAGCAGTCCATGAGCAAGGCCCGGGAGGGGTCCAAGCCGAAACCTTTGATGTAGTACTCATTCACCTGAGTCACGGTCAAATCATCTGATGGATGGATTGGTCAACCCAAATCCCCCTTTCACCAGGCTAGGTTCCTCCGAGGAAGCCGTCCATTCGCTTCAAACAATCTCTGGTCAACCGTGCCCCGATGATGACCCGTAGCCATCTGGTTAAGATGAACTTCCCGAACATACTGGAGCACGCGCATATGATGGCTTCGACCCTGCCTGTTCTTCTTGAGGGTGGGTACAGGTCAGTTGTTATGTACACTGTGAATGGATGTACCTTGGACGGTGGTGCTTCGTAACTTGCACTCAACCATCCCTGTGGCACGGCCGTACGAGATCGCACACGGCGGTACGCTCGAAGACCGATCCAACCGGTAGGAGAAGACCGGTCAGCGACCATTGGTTGTATATGGGTGTACATGTTAATAGGGAGACACCCAGCCAATGAGTAGACTATATAATCTATTTCCTTTCTTCCACGGGGGTGCCGGGGAGGTCTCCCTATGTTATTATACATCGAAGATCCATATGCTGAAAAGGGCGTTGGCGGCCTATATGGCATCGTTAGGCTGAGCCGCACAATTTCTTCACGGGGGCTGTTGGCTGTCCAACAACACCCTCTTGGTTCCAACCTCTGGTTTAACAGCTTAATTGGGCTATGTGCATTATATAATTTCTTGTACACATTATGCAAAATGGCACAAATGCAAGTCAGGCGCATAGTAATGAAAACTATTGTGCTGCTGCGGTGAAATAGGATAAAATTCATCAATCTGCACAAAGGTCAGCTTGTCAAGCACCGGCTTCCTGTCAGAAAGCCCGAACTTCTTGGCTTCTGCCTGCATCTCTGCAGTATTCCACTCTTTCAGAATTCGCTGTACCCACTTGATGAAGTACTCAGGTGTCTTTCCCGTGGGCAGTGAACACACGCCTTCCGGGTTTCCTCAGTGAGATCGAGGTTGGTCTGCACGGTTTGGCTGGAGAGAAATTCAGCCCATTCCATGGGTTGATGACTCAAAACAACGCACGCAATCATCAATTCTACACGTGTAGAGCCAACTCAAAACAACTCAAAACAACAACTCTTCTGAATTCATGAAACCCTCACGACATCTGGCAACCAATGACTTTCAAATGGTACCCTGTAAGAAAATACACACATGGCACCCTCGAAAACAAAAAACCTCCTGTTGACCTGCACACGTCTTGAAGTTCCCGGCTTAGTTTCTGGGAAATAGGATGAAATAGGTGGTGGTGGCTGGTATCCCAGTGGCTGGTGGTTGTCTTGTGTCTCAAGACACATACTCACACTTACACACGGAGGCCGCAGGTACAAAAGATCACAACAGCAACAATCAATCTATGCATACATAATACATATCATACTGATACTCAACTCGCTAGACACCTACGCAAAATACCCACCATGCAATGGACATCGACCTGATTCAAGTTTTTTGGCGAGGTCTCTTCGAATCAAAAGCGCTTCGCCCAGGAACCTTGAGCCCATTCCAGGAATCGCCAGGCTGAAGCCTTCCCCAGCATGGGGAAGTTCTCCACCACCACCGTGCTGATCTTCTCCTCACGTTTTCCACCGTGCGGGTGATGCATTTTCATGGGCCCCCCCCCCCAAATGGATATACTATTGGCATCGGGAGGTCTATTTCCGAACCACTGCCAAGTAGTAATGGATATACTGTTGGCCAATACCCATGTAGTATTGGCAGTCTATGTTCTGGGCTTCGTTGTGTGGGAGGTCTCCCTATTCTGGTTGGTGTTTTCAACCCACTTGAAACATATGAGTCAGAGAATCATCCCCAAGTAAGGGTTGAAAATATACATATCCGAAACCATCACCTATACACATCCACCACAACCCAAGCCCCTTTGCCCAGCCAGCTCGTGTCTCGCTGGTCCGTTCCCCACCAGCTCTGCGCGGCACGGAGCTGGGGCCCTTCCCTCGTCCGACTGAATCACCGATCGATCTGAGTGGGGAACATCTTTTTTATCACCAGAGATCATCTTTTGACATATGATCTATATAGGTCCTAGATGGAAGCTCCCATCCGGAGTCATCACCCCGTCACCCCATTCCATTTTTTTGATGCGAAACAGACTTCAGGGACGAACTGGGTTTCTTTGTCCTGTTCGACTGTTCCTACTGTTCGACTTGACACATGTTCAATGATTCTTTGGGGGGTTCACAAGCTCGTACCGGGTGCAATAGATCACGAACAACTAGCCATTTCGCTCTTAATCCTCCTACACACAACTCATCAAACGTGCTCTGGTGCCCACCCCCTGGTTTTAAGAACTTAAGGAAGCTGGAAATCCTTTTGCCCTAACTGCTACTCCTTCTCCACCAGTCCCTGACTGCCAGCTTTCCAGAGTTCCCAGCTGAGACGGGTTCCGCCAGCTTCTCTCATTTCTTACCCACCAGCATCATCCGAGCATCTTCTGGCTCATACTGCGCCTGGTAAGGGCTGGACGACACCAAATGAGCCTCCACTGAGGAGGACACAGCGTCTTCCAGCTTCCGCTTCGTCATGGCGCGGTCAGCGGGCGGTTTTTCTCGTCTATGCGGCGAACTGGAGATCGGCGACGTCGGATGGGCATTGGATGAAGATTGGAGCACTTGGCTCTGGCATCCGAAGAGGTAGCCAAATGGGCCAAATAGATAGGGCTTAGTTGACCAAAAGGTTGGCTGAGTGGTTGGCCGAATATTTCTTTCAACATGTTGGAACCGGGATCCCTGTTTCAAGGCACCCAAAACTCCATCAAAATCCTGTCCGACCCAGAAACGCGTTTTCCCCCGCACCCCCACCTTGGTTTCCTGCGAGGATCAAGATGTCCACCGACCTAAGGTCTTCACCGACGAGGGAAGGCACTCATGAGTTGTGTGGAGACAAGTCCTGAGAGTCCTGTGTGTTGCGATTCCGCACAACTGCGACTCTGCCAAATCATCTGTGGCATGTATGATTCTCTCGTGGGAGAAGGGGTCCTTGACTCTCCACATGGCCGCCAGCCCCCCGAGCTGAAGGAAAGTCATCTTCGAAACGCGAAGGGAGCAGCGAAATCGAACGGGTTGCTACCCTCAGGGACCTCCTGACATCTCCTGACTCTTCAGCTATCTTCAGCTCTTCAAGAGGTAGAACAAACCTTCTCCCATGCTTCTCCCATTCCCAAATTCGAAGCACAAAGTCGAACGTGTCGATCCTCCAAATTCGGAAACAAAGAATTAAGAGATCAACAGAGATCGTCCTGGAACATGAAGAGTTCCTTCCATACATCTCACACACACACACATGACTGCATCAATCACTCACTCACACACATGACTTATCAACTCCCAAGAGACATTTGACTGCTGGACCAAATGGACTCTCAGATCCGTTCAGGGGGGGCAGTGCTTGTAAGAAGCCCGCGGAATGTTCCGGTGCCATCACTTCGCGTTTGAACACGGTAGACGGTTCGTAGACCCGGGTCCTTTCGTTCGCCCCGCCTTGACCGAGTCCGAGGATGTCGCACATCCCACCGTCCACCCCTTCCGTGTGGGTCAAAACGACGGTTTGAAAGTACACCAACTTCTGTCGACCCACATGATCAAAACGATCCGGGCCACGTTTTGCAGATAAAATCTGGACATCGTCTGGTCAATTGAATTTCGACCAACACAATATCTATCTATATATTTTATTAGATATATACATATATATATATACACAACCTGACCGGAACCATCTTCAACCAAAGGTTCGCCACACCGTGGCCTGATCTAACCATCCGCTGGGCTTCCCCCGCTCTGGGCCCAACTCCCTCCTGGTGACGCAGGTTTCAAAGGATTTCTGAGCTTGCGGAAGCGGCAGCCGCTGGGCTGCTGATTCCTTCCATGGAGAAGTCTACTTCCGAATGTACAAAAAGACCAGTCACTACATACTGTACAACTGTAAATCCAGCGGTTCATGCACCCTCCAGGTGTGGGAGCGTTGCTACTAGCGTTGCTCCACGGCGAATAGATGGATGGCTGGACGGATGGGCAAGAATTCTATGATTTTGGATCGTTGAGACTCCAAAGTATATGTACATGTCGTGGTTCTGTTGCAAAAGGCCAACGCAATTCAAGACCTTCCGACATGCAAACCCCTGAAGAGGCTTTCTGAACGAAATACGAACATCCTATCAAACGGGAATGAACAACGGGAAGTCTCAATACATTTCAAATCTATACTATACCAAAGATGCTCCATGTATGGCATTCTGGAATATATGCCTACACATTGGCAGTCGACCACCTCCAACTGATCGGGCTTCATATGCCAGTCCCAAAGAGGTCGTGTCTGGTACATGAACAGTGTGAATCAAATCATCTTCGCTTTATAAACCTGACTCACAGGTCCTGAACCTGGGAATTTAGGGATATTGGGAGGTTGGTCATACGGTCAAACTCAGTCATCCGGAGGGTGGTCAATACGAAGGATATAGAGCCGGAACCCATGTTGGCTCGTGCCCCAAGCTGTTGTCGCTTTCGGGTCATGTGGACGATCCTTTTGGGTTTCGAGGTGTTCTCCACCTCGGCCTTCAGGCCGGGTGGGTTGCGTCCCTTCCGGTCGTCGCGCGAAGAAGACGCCCGCGCGCGCGCCTCAGTTGTGGCAAGAGCTGTTCTGCTCGGCCTCGGAACGTGGTGAGGTGCAACATTTTGAGATCCTTCCTTTGATCATCTTTTGGAAAGTGCCGAAAGAGAGAGAGAGAGAGAGGGAGAGTGAGAGAGCGAGAGAGAGAGAGAGAGAGCCACACATATCCAGCGGAGATTTACCTCTCCATCTCTTTGATTTTGCTTGTATAACGAGCTTAAATGCCGAACAATTTGGTTTTGTTGTTTGTTCTTTGGGTACCTTTTACTTGACACAAGCAAACAAAGACACAAACAAACACAGCGATTGCCGATTCACAGTCAAGCCACTGCATGATTGATAGACGTTTCGGCAACACTGCCAACCGCTTACCGCATCTTACCGGTACATTATCCGAAAGGGCATATCACATGCTAAGAGGATCAGCTGCAAGAAACATGGACACTCACGTCACATCCGCGTGCCGTACACATTCATCAGTCTACGGTTTACAACGGCCTACAGCGGTTTATGGTGGTCTACGCCATGTCGCATGACCATGCATGACCGACTTCATGTCAACAGACACTTTCTCTGAAGGCACACAATCATTCATCTTCAGAGCTCCCATCTGCACCACCGCGTTGGGCATTTGGACGGCCGCATCAGTGGGGGGTGGGTTTCAGAAACCCATGCATGGTAGATACATAAATAGGTCATATATCAAATATGATATGTATTATATAATATACTATTATATATGTTATATACTATATAATATATATAGTATAATAAAAAAACATCGTATCCATGCATATTAATATATATATATATATATATGCAGCGCATATTAAAATATACATTATGCATCACTATGCCATACCTGGAGCATCTGGGAAAGAACGTCCATCTTCCCAGGGCACCGGGCCAACACGGAAGTCCACCTGAACACTCGGAGGGATGGTGCCTGCCGGAACGCATCAGGGCGATGGCGGCTGGAGAGGGTGGAATTGGGTGGGAATTCAAAAAGGTAGCAGGACATGTCCAAACTGGACAAGTGACACCAGTGAGATATTCTTGTACAGGAAAGGACCTCATGACCCTTGGTGGGAAAAAAGATGAATGACACATTTTCTGGACTCTTTGGAGCTTTCTTTTTTGACTGGAATGACGAACAGGTGGTTCTTTCACATCCAAAACCACTTGCAGTGGAAGTTCTTGGTAGTTCTTTAATGACATATCAATGGAGCAACAGCTTCGATCTGGACCTGTATGACAGCACCATCATCATTTCTCCAAGCGTGTGAACCTCTATACCATATCATCGCTTGGCGGACTTGCCAGGACCTCATTCTAAATTGCCTTCCCCACAGAGTTCAGCGGTACGAGTCACAAAGGGGTCCTTCTGCCTTTTTTGTCCGCTCGTGCACATGAAGAGTTCATATGTTTCAAAGTGAAGAGAACCAAGAGCACACACCAACAAATACCAACAAACAGGACAGCTCCTCACGTTGTCTCTGGTGATAAATCCTTTGGCCGACCACAGGAAAGTTAGCAAAGCCAAATCAACTACTGGGAAAGTCCACATTCCCGCTCCATGGGAGCTCCCAAAATCACAGTGAGGTAGTAGTATGTTGAAACATGTGAATTCGCCCCAAACATAGGAGCCTGAGGTCCGACCATCTAATTCTGAGCACTAATCGGGGACGGCAATTCCCTTCTTCATAGCTCCAAGCGTTCCAACATCTCTCCACACCCTCACCCTCGAGAGCTTCTCGCCAACAAATGGCAGCTGCCACGCGGACCTCATTGCATGGTTGCTCTTGCATGGTGCAAGGACTTTCAGACTTTAGCCTCTCTGGACCATTTCTCATCTTCAAGGAAGAAACGGACCACACTTCTGCAGCTACGTGTCAGGTTTCGCTGGTATGGGGGAGGCGCGGGTCTTCTGTTTTGCAGCTGAGGCTGAAGCATCCACTCTCCAATATTTTGGACTATAGAGACTCGAGGCTATACCTAGTTACAGAATTCGTTCTTCTAGAAAACTCTGTGAACCCAGATGTCCTTTATATCTCATCTGAAGCATCATGTACATCAGGACCCTCTCAGGACCCTCAGTCCAAATTCTCCAGCGTCGCGTCGGGGCTCCCTGGCTGGATCGATCTCGCAACCGATGACCTCAGAGTATCGACCCGTGGCTTGACAAACGTATGGACCCTTCGTGGGAATCGGCTTGAGAATCCCCTTAAAGTTCCAAGCTTGGCAAGCCGATTCCCATGCAAACCATCCTCAAGTCCGAAGCCCCTTGAAGTTCTTGAACGTTCGAAAGCGTCAAAAAATGCCCCATCCAGTCGGTGCTTGAGTTTGCTCATGGGGTGATTCTGGGCAGCATCGAGTCACTTCTTTGCATGAAATACCAAATATTCGACGACAACAGGGAAGAGACCTGGGCTGGTGGCTGGCTGGGTGATTTCACGAACACTTGAAAGGCGATGAGGGGACGGCTGGACTCCCGACTGCACAGGTGAAGACCTGAACACCTGCATCTTCAGAACAGTTTCGTTTGTGGAGCTTCCTGCACTTGGGGGGCTGTTTTGGGGGATCACCTTGAGATACACTAAAGATGGTGGATCTGCTGTAAAGTCCTGCCCCAAAGCATGCAGATTCTCCCCAAGTGCTGCAGGATCCTATACAAGTTGCATCGGAGGAGGGCATAGGGAGGGCGGATCCGGTCAAGCACTTCTTCCTCTGTCGACGCACTGTCCGAGTTGATAATTAAAAGAGGACGTCCTACAGGACCGCAGCCAGACTGGAAAGCAGAACATCACATTAGGGAACCACATGATCAGCAAGTGATCATGGAGACAGTTCATCAACAATGGACAACAACAACACAATATCATCCAACTTGGACATGATCAACATCACACTCCGGGTGACCTGGAGACACAGTCCAAGCCTGGATGAGTGCCAAAGCCTCACCTAGGATCAGTTGTGCATTGGTGTCAGGACCAAGCAAGCCATTCCTCAAGTCCTAATCCAAGTGCACAACTGCTGTCCACATGAAAATACTTGGATGGGAAAGTTCTCGCTTGACCAGGGTCAAGAGCCTAGGCACCTGCATCAAGACAATTATATAAGTAAAGCTTTAAGCTTATATCGTCCAAAATGGTGTGGGTCAAACGCCATGAAAGGTCTGCACTCTCAAAACGGCTGGAAACGACTACTCTCAATGCATTCGTGGCCAATGATGGACCGCTTTTCTCCGTCATCCAAGTAGAACTGCCACAAGCCAGGCCGTTTTGGGGCCGCTGCGAAAGTCCTGAAAGACTCTGAAAGACCAACTAGACGTTACTTGGTTGGTGGTTTCAACTCAGTTGAAAAAGATTAGTCAGTGGGTTCAATCATCCCAAGTAAAGGTTGAAACTAACATATCTGAAACCACTACCCAATACAAGTAGCCAGAAGTAGAATCTAGTCAACTGAATTTGGACTTAGCTCTGCAAAAAGTTGGCTCTTATTTGGAGTCATCGGGTGCAACCGGAAGGAACCGATTTTCAGTCATCGCGTTCCCGTCCGTTGCCGTCGAGTTGGGAGCGTCCCCGGGAGTCAGGGCCGCTCGCGGGCCGTTGGTATTTTGAAGAATGTCGAATCCAGAAAAGGGGAGTCTCCCCACAAAGAAAACACACCACGGTTGACAACATCTTCTCTAATTACCAACTCCAAAAATTTCTGCATCTTAGGTCATCCAGGTCTATTAAGACTGGCAGCCTATCGGCTTCGAGTGTTTATGACTGACAGCTTCATTTGGTGCTCTGCTAGAGGTTGCTGGATGTTGCTGGTATCAAACTGAGTCAAACCAACATTTGGAAAGTACATGCACAACAAACACATGAGTGCTAGAAGGCCCCCTGCCGTGTAGGGATGCCTGTTGCAATGATAACTCTAGTGCATCCTGCAAGCATGCGAAGCTTCCTGGAGAGGTGCAGGCTGCGCAGCGACTCTTCAATCAGGCCAAGGCTTCGGAGATTTTCGTCCAAAGACCCCCCCAGGTCAATCCCAAGATGTTCCATGTCTGGACTTCTACAATCACTCATATTTTTGGTGAGCGATGTCTGCCCAATCGATCTGATCATGTTGGCGGTTGATTAAACCCTACCAGAACGGCTTTACATCTCCACATAGGTGTCCTGTCTTTTTGTTTTAATGGGTTTCAGTTCAAGGGGTCAACACTCGGATGGGTCTCCAGATCTTTTGCTGAGGACTAGAGATTCTCAGCCATGAACTTCTCCACATCCTCCCAGCTCAAAGAGGAGGCATCTTTTAAAACGGCCGCGGCATCGGATTCAAAGTCTTTCAGCGCATACTCTTTTCGTTCCTCCTTGGGGCCACGGTGCCGGGGAGCGGGTCCCTGCGTCGACGACGGGCACACGTTCGAGGGAACCACGGCTTGGCCGTGAAGGTGTGTTTGACGTACACAGGCAGCTTAGCAGCTATTTGAAGCTGGCTTTAGCACGAACAAACCTTTAAATCCACAAAGTTTAGCAGCCGGGATCGGATGCAGGATCACTGACCGTCTCCCTTGGGATTGGGGGAACCCGCCATGGGGGACGTTGGTTGAGAGGGATGCTCCTAAGACATCAGCTTCCCTGGCATGCTCTTCCACCATCAAGCGGTCTGTCAAGCAGTTGCTGACCCTCAAGATTCCTTGTTTGATTGCAGGCCCGATCCTCTGACAATGTAGGGCACGCCTCAAACTATGAAAGTCCTCCAACGAAAAGAGGGTCAAATAAAGGTACTAGTGGTTGGTGAGTCTCCTATTCTTGAGACACTGACACTCACCCATAACAAAATACACCCCTTTTCTTCCTTAATACCCCTAGCTTCGCTGAAACAAGCTGTAACCAAACAACTGCACCCTCGAACAGCCCCGGTCGCCCACGCAAACCGACCTCAGTGAAGAGGACTTGATGCAGAAACTTCAACTCCAAGGTCTTCTTTCCATCCACTGTCTGGCCTTTGGGATGCTCTTCAAAAGACTTCCTGCCGCTGAACGGATTTGGGGATCACTTGGGATGAGTACCACATGTCAAGGGTTGAGGCAATCTCGTAGAATCAAGTCTACTTTTGGCAGAAGATGGTTAAATATCAATATGTGTAAAATCGTATATACTTACAATTATATGTTATGTTATGTTATGCTACATGTACATGTTGGATAGAATGGCTCTAGGAAAGGAACAGCTTGTAAGTTTTCCTGAACCTCAGCTGCTGTTTAAGCTCACTGCTTCCCTAAGTACTACCCATAGTAACTCCTAGTAGCGTCACTTCAAAAGTGCTCATGATAGCGGAACTACTTCAAGGCGGCCTTTTCGTCCAACCAAACCGTGTACAACCAAGGACAAGTCACTCTCCAAGGCGTGAGCTATTTTCAGCAAGGGCGATACCCAAATCTAACAGAAGGCTTGAGTAACTGGGAGTCCTAAAGAGAAAAAGCCTTTCCCAGCCAAGCATCATTCAGTATATTGAGTTCAAGGCAAACCCGACTGCCCCCGCGACCCGGCATGTACGCACCGTGTCCCGGCAACCCCGGATATTCCATGCGATGCCGCCTCACATGCTCAATGCGATCAGGAGGGTAGTCCATGGGCTCCCACTTCTTCTCCAAGCTCAAGGTTTCCACTTTCGCGGCCAAGATGTCTAGCTTTGCAGCGACCTCTTCTGCCATGGCGATGTGCGATGCGGCAGGTGGTTGAACACACGATTTCAGGCAACAAACAACCAAAGGACGCGGAAGGACAACCGTGCGCCTTTGTGAAATTGGTGAGCATATGTAGGCATATATTTAATGACTCAATGCTTGTTATGCTCGGTCTTTGTCCTTCTTGAGTTCATGCAGAAAGTCGTTGTTCTTGTGCTTTAAGAGAGTGATGTCTTGCTGCTTGAAGGGCTCACTGCGACAGCCCACATCCAGAGTCATGAGCACATGGGTCCACTTGTCAATAGGTATGCACATCTTCCACCAACGCAAATGATACCAAGGTTCCAGGATACTGCTTGTCTTCACAGACTGCAAGCTCTTCTCGGCATCGAGATGCTCTGCAAGAACACGATGTGGAGAATGGCTGACTTATTCTAAACACCCATGGTCAAATGGGAGGCAAGTGAATGCTACATGGTAGTTTCTGGCATCAAACTGGATCAGATGAAAAAGGTACTGATTCCTTTGATGGCCCTGTTCCAAACTCCCAAACCTCTCCAGAAGCTTCGATTCCACTTGGTAGGATCTTCCATGATTCTATTTGATTGAGAACACATTTTTCCCAGAAAAATAAATATAAGTTCCTGCATGCAGGTGTCATGGAAGGGCCCCGAGAAGAATTCTACTCGGGGCCCCTCCATGTTGCTGGATTTCCCCAGAACCCGTTGCACGGCCTTGCTTGTGCCCGCTCACGTTGGGGTTGGCAACCCCCTAACTGCGTTGATGCTCAAAGACCTATCTGTGGACAGTGGCTTCAGAGGAGCTGGCACTAGAAGATGTTTAGATGGATGTACATATAAATCCATTTTTGCTACTAATATTGATACTCATCTACTCCAAAAAACACTGCAACATTGTTCGACTCACCCCTTTCCTACAACCGTGTTCCTCCCTTTTTCAGACTCCGACACAGCCATAGTTTCTTCTTCTGCTCCAACTGCCAGTGCATCCCCTGAGGCGACTCACATGGGCGCTCTCCAACGCCTTCGCCACACGAAGAGTGGCCTCGGAAAGCGCGTCGGATCCGAGCTCTACTTGAAGCTACTTGAAAGGTCCAGAGACCTCAGCTGTGAAGCAGTTCAAACCGTTCAAGAACATACGGGAATCTACTCACTTCAACATGTCTCACTTGTCAAGTCAGTACTGTGCAGTTTGGAAAAACCATGTGAAGAACGCCTCCTCTCAAGCTCCCAGGCGGGTCTGCGGTGCCTGGTTGTTATTTTTATGTGTTTTTGGTACTTATTTGAGCAAACCTGCTGGTTCAGGAACATCATCAGACTTGATCATCCTACTATATCCTACTAATTGAGAAGAAAGCTGCGCCCGAAACCACCTGAGAGAGTGGTTCAAAGCCACGGAAAAAAGAGCGGATCGTTCTTCCTTTCGAGCAGGAAACAACACATCCCAAAGCACTTAGGATTCTCGATGTCGGCAAAAACAGTGGAGATCTGGTGGTGCAAATCTGTTAAGGCCTTGCCTTACCGATCTTTACCGCTTTCCAGTCTAAAACAACACGCACACGATCAACCAAAGACCTGATTTTGAAGTGAACCCTGGCAACCCTGCCACGTCCCAGTGGCAAGTGGATCGTGAGAACTTCTTTGCACCCTGAGGCACTTGATGTTCGGTGTGCAATATTTGGCAACCACAAAAGGCAAAACACTTAATCCTGTTCATTCCCCCCCCAAAAAAAAAGCGGTCTCAACATGGGAGCAGCTCTCCCTCCACCCCAAAACGTGCCCGAAAAAAAGCGGAAAACGCGCCGCTCCAAACGTCCAAAAACAAGGCACAGCTCCGAGGCCAGATCCCAGCTCCAGAACCACGCGCTTCCTGCGGATGTCGTTAAAGTGAGGTCTGCGGAATTCCCGCCCGAAAACCGTTCGAGAACGCGCCCCCGAGGGCGAGGAAAGCGGTAAGCGGTGTTTTTTGTCTTTTTTCGGATCAGACCAGGTCGTTTGGTCATGTGTAGCCTGTTGACAAACATGGTGTCTACCAAAACGCGCTTCAAGCATCCAAAGTATCGAAGTCCAAACTTCAAAAGATTGCCACGACAGGTGCAGAATTGATCGGACAGTTCTTGGTTCAGTCTAGCCAGAACTCTTCAATACTCGCAATCCCCCCTGACTACCAAATGCTCGACCTCCAAGAGAATGGCTTGTATCCGCAGGTAATCAAACAACTCCCACCAAACAGTGATTCAAGTTACACAGTTACACAGGTTTATATAGCCAAGCCCTTGATTGATGTGCCTTTGCAAGCATTTGCTATACTGACAAAGGGTTCGCACATCTCCTGGTGCAAAGTGCTTTCAGATTGGATCCAACAACCGGATTTTTGGGAATCTCATTTGGTCTTACTACTGCCTTTGGTCTAGTCTAGTGGAGAACCAATATATATATATATAATACTACCCCGAGATGACACAGGAGTAGTGAAACATACATGCAGAAACGAGTCTTCCTATCTCATGTGTCCGCAGCTGCAATCTGACGGGATGGCTTTGTACCAAATAAAGAGCGTGTCTCGTGTCCAAAGCACATGAAAGATGCCCAAAAAGACTATAAAGTCCTATCTCATTAGGGCCTATCTCAGATTAGGAAGCTTAAGAGGAGTTTGCGAAGGTAAAGTCTGAGCCTTTGGACAAATGAGTTGGGTCCACAAACGTTGTAAATTAACCCTGTGTCCTGTGCTCGATCCCTCTTTTGGCTGCTTTATTGAATCCTATCTCATCTGCTTCTCGTACAGTTTGCAACACCTATAATCTCCTATCTCATCTTCCCCTAGTACATATACAGTATATGTATAGTTATAAGATAATATGTAGAATATATATATATATATACTATGTGTGTGTGGGCTCTATTGTGCCCACCGGCTGCACCCTGACACCAGGAGAGCGGTGACAGGAGCGCATGGGACGCGCTGGCCTTAAGGGCCGCCAGCCATGGTCTACTCACATATTATATACTGGAATCCCCGAAACATCCAGACTCTTCTCAGTAAACACGTATTATACACTTGTTGCTGTTGGGTCGCCCAAAAGGGGCCCCACACACACACACACACATGACAAAGAACCGGCAATGTGATATATATATATATATATCGTCTTCTGGTTTTGCCAACACACACCTCTCAATATCGATACCTCGGGCCGATGCTTTGCGCGCACAAAAAAGCATACGTAGTCAGTCCAAGTGCCCCAGGTCTCATGAACCCCAGTACAAGCCGGGTGTCTTGTGGGGCCTCCAAGCAGCGCAACTGTTGGGCTCAACTAATTGTCGCATGGGTTAGAAACAAAAGCAACATAAAACAACAATCTGTAGCCGGGTCCATCTTCTCCCTATGCCCCCCCCCCGCCCCGAGAAAACACCCCTTGGTCAATGCATCCGACACAAAACCCGCGGATTTCGAGGTTGTAGTTCACGAGCCGTCGCCATACGAGACCAGTTTGTGGAGTCTGCCGTGGCGCGCCTCACTGTTGCCATAACTGCTGCATCCAGGGCCGCACCGCCTGAGACCCATGCAAGCACGGAGTCCCACATCAGCAAGCACTAACAAGTTGGTAAACCACCCTGAAACAACAACATACCGTCAATCTCACGGGCTTGTAGTTCTCGAAAACCAGCTGGAGAAGATTCTAGATGCGTTTTCATCCTTTGTCCAAACCATGTGGGTAAAGCATCTCTTCCATCACGAGAGAAGCCCATAATCAGAAACACCAAAAGCAAAGAATGTCTTGGCCAGGTGTCCCCACCGTGAAGTAGTTACACACATATACTGACCGTATGTATGTCTACAGCATACAAATGCATACAGTACATATATACATGTATATTATATGTGTATATATCGACTTCTTGCTCAGGCTTAGCCCAGTCTTGTTTGAGCTGCCGGTTTCTACTATCATCCCGATTCCAGCTTCTTGTGCAGTATAGGAAACATCGCCCACCTGAATGCCTGGACGATCACTTTAATAGTTTTCAGAGACGTTCAAAGCAATGTTTCCTGACAACATTGCCCACCTAGCCTACTGAATCACGACTGGTTCAAAGTTTTTCTGCACTATATACCCGACCTTACCTGGCCCATAAATTCACCATCTTGCATACAATCAAAAAGGTCGCAGGCGAAGAGCAGTCCCCCTCCAATCAATTTACCGTGGAAAACTAACATGGACCCTGAGTACACCACTGGTTTGCAAAGGAAAGCAATCGGACTCAGGGTCCCAAAACCACAGGGTCCAATGTGAGTTTTTGGGATAGTAGTACCCGTTCAGTCCGGTTCTCCTCCCCCTGCCTGTGCCCTAGACCCAAAGAATGCGCCGCGCCCAAAGCCAACCCACATGGTCTTCTCCACGGAAATGGCGCCCGGGCGGGCTCCAGCTCCGTGCCGCAAGAGCTCATCATCCTAGCTGGATGCAAAAGCCCAACCTGCTGATGTTGGATCTCTATCGTCTGTATATCCAAGCAATGGCCTCCAACCTAATAGCAATGTTGGATCTCTATCTGTACATGTCTGGAGATCCCGGAGAGTAGTGTAGTCCGTTGGACACGCAACCAGGATGGTCCTATCTTTTACCCTTTTTCTTGGTCGTTCTTTGCTCTTGCGCTTGCCATAGACATCAGTCGGTAGCCGCAGCACCTAATTCCTAATCATTGCATTCTTTGTGTTTCTCGGCAGTTCACAAACAAAAATGGAGCTGCTCAACATCGATTCCTCGATTCCTCTACACCGAAGGTCTACAGTACCACTGTCTCCCCAATGTCTAGCCAATGATCATAACTTTATCTCAATTGGTCCTACAGAGTCCTACTGTATACATACCGTATACAAGTCTTCGGAGACGACCAACGCCCACGCCTCGCTCAGTCTCGCCCTTGGCTCTTGGCAGAGTCTTAAGACCTTCGAACTTCGAGTGAGGCCGATCCAACCATGTCCAACCCCCCTCGGGCTGGTTGGAGGCTCCCAGAACTGAAGAGTCAACGGCTTGCTTCTGTACAGATTTTGGACCATACTTTGCTCCGCTCATTCGATTCCTTGAGTCATTGAGAGTCCAGAACCTGGGATTATGCTGCTTCCTCCAAGTTCAGTACATCTCTGTCAGGATCGGTATGTTCACGTATTGGTAAATGCATGCAAATACACACATCCGCCATCCTCATGAAGGGAAGGACAGGTTCGCCGAAGTGGTTCGTTGCTCAAGCACGGAAGCAAACGTGGTGAGACAAGATGCTGGCAAAGATGGGTTTGGTGCTTGGTCGGGGTCGGCGGTTTTGGGAGGTCGGCTTGGCCCTGTGCCCTGCATCTGATGCTGCATAGTGTGTGTAAAGCATGACAAACGCATAGGCAGCACCGCGAACGGTGGGGTGCGGACGGCACGAAAGGACTGGCCAGAAGCAGGAGAGTGATGGGTTTCCAAAGACACCGTTGAATGTGGCGATTGCAAGGACACAACCCTGGGACCAGATAAACTTTGATGATGAATCGACTGCGCTGGAGATGTCAAGATTCTCATGATGTGAGGGGTTCTAGGTCCTAGGTTCTTGACCCACAGGTTTCAACGGCTTTTTCATGCGTCTTCGAACTGGTCAGCTCCAAAGTGGTGATTGCAGGGGAGTAACTTGATACGAACGGTAAACATACATTTCCTTGGAGGAGATGTCACTGTTCTATTCTATCTATGCCAGAATCAACATGCGAGTACAAACAAACAACCCTTATCTATGTTGGCAGTAGGTATAGATTAGATCTATCATGATGTCATGATCTATCTATGTCTCAACCCCGTGTCTCAACTCACGTGGCCTGCGGGACACATGGCTGGTTGCCCCTTCGCCTTCAGGCATCGCATAGGGAGGTTGTTTGACATGCACCCTTTACCCGGTGATAGGTCTCAGCTTCCCGGCCAATGAAAGCTCTTGGCTGTACCTTGGCGAGGTGCTGTTGTGGACCGCCCTTGGGAAGGAGGATGAGGTTCTCAATGGGAGAGGATCGGAGGGTCAAAGGAGCACTCGAAGATCATGGTAGTGGCCAAAACATGTCAATGTGTTTAAGACAAACGCATGATTTGGAGAATGAAAGGATGAAACTTATGATGAACCTCATAAGCTGAAAGGATGAAACTTAGGTCACCTTGCAAGATGAGCTCTCAAAAGGCCTTCGTCCAAAATTTGACGTCTGAAAGCTCGTGCGCAGCCCGGAAGCAGTCCTGCAGGTTTCTTCTTAGTGAAACATGTCAGAAACCGGCAACCCAAAGCAGGACTTGAGTTGAGGGTACACGACCATGTGCGCAAAATTCTGTGGAGAGACCACCCCCCTCCCGTTCGCGGATCTTGGCGAAGCGACCGGCGCTCGGCCTCCCGACTCCCCACGGCTCGATGCGCGAAGATGGCGAAGGAGGCCGAGGCCCACCTTGCACATCGAAGCCGAAGCCGGGTTCAAAGGGATGCGGTGGGCACATGCCCGTGAATCATGGTCCACATGGCTGAAGAGAAAACACAGACCGCAAGAAGTCAAGGAAGTCAATGGAATTCGCATTTGACCAACAGTTATTTTGATTGGCCTCTTTGCTCGTTGATGGAAGTCTTCCTGCTTGCTCACTGCCTTTGGACGCAGGAGGTTGGAGATGGCATCGCTCTCGCCCTGGCTGGGCCATAGACAAACCGAAAAAGCAAACGTGACAGCTGCTTGACACATTGACTCAACCATGGCTTTTCTCAATTTGATGTGCTGCTAGCTGGTGCGAACCAAGCTTGTACTGACAAGCGTCACACAAACAGTTCCAGGGTTTATGAGTTCAACCCGTTGATTGAGTGGTTTCAGAACGCATCACCTTCCATGTGGCCAAGCAGCACAGGACGGCGTCAAGGGCTGGGTTCTCCCGAGTCGGTCCTTCCGGTCGCATCCAGTGCGTCCGATTGCTCCTTCCTAAGTAGTAAGGCCGGGAGCCCCGTTCGTAGCGAGTGGGGGGAGATCGAACTCGGACCTCGGAACGCTGCACCCCGGCAGGCCCGGTCTCGGACCCGAAGCACCCCTCTGCTCGTGGATGACTGGCGATCGCAGTGGACTCGGTGAACCACCTCACAATGCCGGCCCTGCCGGTGTGTCGCCCAGTGGCCTCTTCCTCCAAGAGATCTAGAGCCTCACATGGCGCCACTGGACCGCAATGCTACGAAGAGAAAAACACAACGACAACAGTGACAACAGTATACTAAATATATCCAATCGCAGCTACCACTAATCAGTATGTAGCATGCAAGCCAAAAGCCCTTAAGGTACTGTACAAAAAGGAGGTAGAGCCTCCATACCCTGTTTTTGTGCGTGACGGCGATATTAACCACTAGCTCTGGCATGATCCTGGTTTTCCATGTTTTCATGGGCCTATCCACCTTTTTTCGCCGCTCCAACAGGAGAGGGATGCGATGCCAGGAGAGGAGGGGAGTGTCATCGTTCCATATTTGTTTTTCTTGGACCAAAGCCCAACACTCAAAGCTGCAACTCTCGGATCTGGGGCGAAGAAGAGAAGAGACGTCCGTCTTTTTGTTTTATTCGTCTTTTCCTGAAGCGGTTGGAGAAGTGGGGATCTCCATCAATACAACCACCCGTAGCCATGAATCACCAGTTTGGAGGATGGACCATGGAAAAAGCCGCCACGCCCATCATCGCAAGACAAAGATCTTCATGACACCAAGCCGTGGCAAATCAGCAACCCTTGGAAGCTGGGCGTCATGCTCTCTCTCTCTCTCTCGCTCGATGAAAACCAAGAGATGACGCCCACGTGATGTTTTTAGAGCCCCAAGCAGATTCTGCACGGAGCTTGCAGTGCGTATGGCCATTGATCAAACCACACACACACACACACACACATCTGGATCGGTGTCGTCCCCCAGGTGGGAGCGATTTCTCTCAGTTCAACAAGCTAAAAGATCCTAGAAGTAGCCCTCTTTCCTTTTGCTCGAATCCAAGCTGCTTTGCAAGTGCACGAAACAAGGAGTATGCCACTAGCGGCGATGGCCTGACACCCCATGTCTTCACCCTCCAAGCGGCCCATCGTGCCAGCGGAAGGCTTCCAGCAGCAACAGCACGAGCCTCGGCGTCACAAATGGACGTTTTAGAGTGCGATTCTCATGGGTCCTTTGGAGAGTTGGTGTGCAAACTCCGGTCGAGTCGAGTCCGGATCCGTAAAAATCAAGATCCTACGGTATCGCTTTGGTGTGCAAACTCTAGCCAACCTGAGACCTGCAAAGGTTCCTAAACATCAATTCTGGGATTCGCTTGTTGAAACACTTGTCTAGACTCTAGACATGACTTGCTGGAAAGCAACCATGGGTTTCACAGATACATCATGTTGATAGTGCTGCTACCCCCAGATTGAAGTAGAATGTAGTACATCCTCAAAGCTTCGCTGGAACCCTGAAATGAGTCATTTTCTTGTCTAACTATATCTTGAGGGAGCTTGAGGGTCAAGTGCACAAAATCCGGGCATGTCCTGTGGAAATCCTACCATATTCTGATACACCAGCTATATACTCCTATAGTGAACCCCAGCACCACATGTCCCTGCTTCCCAGCACCAGGGATCCGATCCCAGTTCGCTCCCGAGTTTCGGCTCGGGGCCCGAGCCGCGGCGGCATTCAACGCCTCGGTCGAGCGGCGAAGGCAGAAAGCTCTCCATCGAAGCTGGATGTGTGGGGCAAAACGCGATGGATTCATGTCCTTTCCATGTCGCTTTCCATGGGGCAAAGCATGTTTGTTTTCTTCTTCCGGATCATGTCGTGGTTTCCGGACAACGGCGGATAGCTTCTTTATCACTGCTCACTTCTCGCTGTCCGAGTCAGAAGAATCATCCTCATCATCAGGCTCAATTTCAGGGAGACAGCCTTGGCTTTGAGGGCATCACGCAAAATCATTCACAAATTATTCTAATTGCCGTCATTTCTTATATCTCCAAGGTTTCCAATTTGGGGTTCCCATAACGAAACTGGCCAAACCTCCAGTGGATTGCGCAGAACAACAGGAAGCTCCAGTGGCTGCCTTGCAACAAAAAAGAATCAAAAGCGGAAGGCCCCAGAGGCTGACGTAACAAGACCTGTGCCAGGCTGCAACTCCAATCGCATCCGCTCTGAGAAAGACGCTGTGAGCGCTCTTCCCGTGGTAAGCAGGACATAGTCCGGCGCCAGATCCGTCCGACTGCCCTCGAGCGTTCTCGACCATCCACCCAGCTGGAGAAAAGGCCTTCAGCACCGAAGACCAACCTGTTTGAGCGAAAAGTCAAACTCCACTAATTAGTCTGGCTGGTCCTTTTGGCCAAAGGTGTTTTTTTGATTCTTGTTGTATGTTCCTAGAGTTCTGATATCTGATGCGTCACGGAAGGTGTTGGAACTGGACAGTTGGTGACGAGGATGTGAGAAGTCTTGGAGAAGGAATTCCATCTCTGAAGCGAACGGTTGAGCCAGCAGTTCACCCCTTGGAAAAGCATCAATCACCAGTGGCAAGCTTTTGTGATCTACAAACCAGAGTACGGAACAGCTGGATTCTGAGTTAGAAACAAGGTCTAAAGAATTCAAAGAGAACACCAATTTAACTCTGTAAGGCTTGGTGACTGTTGCAGCTTCAAGTTGAAGGCGTCCACATCTGAAATCTTCTGCAAGATCAAGTCTTTGTCACCAGCGGAGGAAGCGGAACAGTCCCTCACGTCCAGCGTTGAGAGCCGATCATAGTTGCAATCCACTGCATCCTGCGAAAGGACTTTGACTCTTGTTGGAATGTCCAAGAAGTTTGCCTCCATGACTTCAGCTACGCACCAGGCCCGGTAGAGCACTTCAAATTGCTCATCAACTACAAGGACCTGTCCAAACATGGCCACTCGTTCGTGTAGAAATCGCATCATATCGTCGAACTTGTTCAGCTCACATGCAGGGTTGGAATGGTTCAGAATCTTAGGCTCTAAGCAATAGCAAAGACTAAACTTCTGCAAACTCACAGAATCATATCTTTTTTTGTTCCATGCTTCCCATTCAGGTGCATTCTTGGGTGGCGTTGGACCGTATCCGCCACAAATACTTGCATGTTGGTTCACAGAAAAGGCACACACCCAGTATGTTGCATCCATCTTTTCACATTCAACCAACCGTTGCTTCAAGAGCTCAACCCCTTCTTCGCTACTCAATTGCTCAGCAATTGTTTGGTACTTGTCCTCATTCAAAGCATCTGCCACTATGCCTCCCACGAGGCAAGCAAATCTGTTGGTCCAGTTGTGTGTGACCATATTCTGTGGCATGGCGGACTTTTCCCAAATAGATACTAAGGCTTTCCCACCTGTTCCGACACGCGATCTGGGGATAATGGCCCCACGGACCACGTCATTGGTCAGCGACCGTTCAGCATCAAAGCTTGGCATCAGTACGCCGGCCAAAAGCTCTTCCCAGAATTCCAGCAAAGAGTCCTTGGATTTGCTTCGAGTCAAGGTTAAAGTTCAAAATATCTTGGAACCAAATCAACAAGGCTCAGTCTACGACCTAACTGCCCGGCTAAAATGAAAACACAATTCCTTAGACTCTCAGGAAGTCTGAACAAATTGGTTGTAAAACACCCTAAACTGGGGAGAAGATGGGAGAAACAACTACTGTACACGAAAGTAAACACCCACCTCACCATTCTTCAGCACCCGGCGTCCAAACGAACTCCTCGGTGTGCCAGCTCTTCCACCTTCACATGATACAATGGATCCTGGCTCTGGTCGAGCGTTTTTCGACCAAAGGATTGGGCCCTGACTTGGATTTCCTCGACCTCCTCCTCTGGTGGACTCCCCTGCCAAAGAATTCCCGACAAGAGCGCCAGTGCTATGGCATCCACTGCCGCGCCAATATGACGGGCAGGCGCCATTAGGTCTGGATAGCCAGATTTGATCAAGTCCTTTTGCTCTGGAGCGAAAAGCACAAGCATCTTGATGTAGATGATTACAAACCTCGGCAATTCTGGTGATTTGACATTAGAGTTATGACCTCCAAACACCATTAAATAAACACTGCAATACACATTCCATTCATTTCTCTTCTATCACCAGTATGGTACCATTATCAAAGGAAAACATATACACTCAAAATATATCAAAATATGTCAATATGTGAATGTAAAGTACTTTCTCCACCAGAAACACCAAAAACGGCACCCATGTCGGGGCCCAGCCGCCATGGGAGTGACTCCGTGACACCCACAACGGCCATCATCCAAAGCTCCGTCCGCAAGACTCGGGCGGCTCACTGAGCTTGTAAGGACGGCAAACCGGTCACCTCAAGGCTTTCTTGCCAAAGCACCTGGACGCCCTGGGCCAAGGTCCTGTGCTGAAGAGCCCGTGTGATTCCAAAGGCTGGGTCTGATCGCCGTGCTCTTGGGCGACGGCGGCCTTGACTGCACTCTCGTTGCGCATGTTCGATTTTGGTGCTCACTTTTCGTGGCAGGTGCACCACTTTGGACTTGGTGGTGGTCTTTGGCGTGCTCTGATTTCATGGATGTTGCAATGAATCGTGTGCTTCCTGCACTTTTGGACATAGTTGAGAAGAACATCTTGCAAAGGTTTCGTTTTGGCATCTTGAGCTTGTGGGCATACAACTTGGTGAAGCAAGTGATGCTACCAATTTTGGCTTGCATCTTCTGCATCACCAACAATCTAAAACTAGCCTCCACCTGAACACTATTGACACCACCAGGCTATGACATTATGATGAATTTGGTACCCTATTTTTTCACTGCTGAAAGCAGAAAATAGTTCAGCCTAGCCTGTCAGCTGGCTTTCGCAATAGTGGGATAGAATAGAGCGAAACCCTTTCGAAACTGGCAGTGTCAATGAATAGGATCACACAAAAATGATGCCTCCTGCCTCACCTGCCTCCCAATTCTTTTGTATATTGGCGCTGCGATGGTCGATGGTGGTGTACTTTGGACCCAGGGCCTGGACTGTGCTACTGTGCTACTTACTGCCTCAAAGTGAATCGCAAAAGGCCCACTGATCTGTTCTGAGTGTCGAACTGAAGTTAATTTGTCATGTTGACGACCAAAACACATGTTACATCTCCAAATGTCATGTGTTTTTTTAAACCTGTTGTTTATACATTCTTTAAATAGAGTCAATCAACAGCCTACATTACAGCGCTGATCCTGGAATTTCTGGGGCACGGTGCTGCTTTTCCGGTGACAGTCCTGCAAACCATGATGCTATAAGGCACCCATACCATGATGAAGGCCATAGCCTCAAGAGATCGTGCCGATCTAAGCTGCCACGATCATGACGGTGTTTCAAAGGCATCTAAGATAAGGAGAACCCCTTTGGTCGAGGCCATCTAAATATGATATACAGATCGATAATTCATTACATAACAATATATATATATACACATATTAATATCATACTATAATCATATACAATATCGTATAGGTGTGTGTTCGTGAAGTAGTCTTCAGATGTCTTCAGTGTCAGCCTTGACCCAAAAAGGTCCGCAGAACGGGGTCCCCGAGTGATTCCACTATAACACGCATGGAACTTTTGTGAATGAAGACCCCAGGAGTCACGAGGGTTCGGCGATTTGTTGGGCATCTTTGAGCATCTGTGACGTACTCCAAGCGGCCACGAGCAAGTAGCTAACCGCGCCCACAGTCCGTGAGCCGCAGAACAAGAGCGCAGCAGACAAAGCGCGTACGATGCCAAAGGCCCAAATGACCTGGCTGCGTCTCCCGGACTCCGGCGAGGTCCGATGTCTCGGATTTTCGGGGATTGAGGATTTCCCACTATTTACGAGCATTTGGTACATCCCAGGTGGTGCGCAATTTCTTCCATCCTCCCAAGGAAGCTTCTAGCTGCTAGTAGCTTATAGTAGTAATGCCAGGAGCTACTCGTAGCTTCAAGATTACGATGGAGCAGCATAACTGGCATGCACGCTTCCGGAATCAGATACATACCCTATCCTTCCAGCGAAGGGTGAGTTGCACATGTTTTCCGACGTCGAAAAGAAACAGAAAAGGACGTTTTACGGGTGTGTCTTTTCCAGTGTTCTCGAAACCGCTTGTTTTAGTACTTTGCATGTTGAAGGTGTTCAGACTTTGAGGACGAGACCTCGTAGTGGTTGGTAGGTGGTGGTTGTCTGCTCGTGAGTAGTAGTATTATGTAGTATTGCTAGGGGAGTCGGCCAAAAAAGAAGGTGTTGCTTTTTGGTGGCATCATGTTTTGCCAATCTTTTTTGGCCGACCCCCCCCCCCTGTGGGGCATCAAGCTCCCACAGGTCACAGGGTGAATGGCATGAAGCTCATGGCATTATCATCACCATTGCCATTAGCATTGCCACAGGTCAAGGGTGAATAGCCAGTACCAGCACTATGGCCCATTAGCATTAGCATTACCATTGCTATTAGCATCAGCATTTGCATTACCATTGGCATGCCCAGTACCATTAGCATTATCATTAGCATCAGCATCAAGCTCCCACAGGGGATGGCATTAAGCAAATGGCATCAAGGTTTTGTTTTGCCCACCAAGACACCAAAACGATGTGAGAAGCTCCCATATCAGGTCCATATCCAAAGAAATGACGTTCTGAAAGTTTTACACCTGGACCATCCTGTCTGGGTGTCCTGTCGATCCCTTCTTC